TAAAAATTATAAACTTTTACCTTAATTTCTTTCCGTTTTAATCACCTTCATATTATCTTTACTGAGCTGTAGTTTAGACTGACTCACTAACAATACTAAGGCGCTCTTGTATTGTGTTTAATTTAAATTTATTTTGTTTATCATTTTTAAGAATTCATTTCATCTATTTAACTTTTTTAAAAGTTATGAATAATTTTGGCTAAATTACTACCATTAGAGTAGTATTCTATATATAGATATGTTTTAAGAAATAATTTTTTTATGTAACTAATGTTTTATTTTTAAAAGAGAATATTTTTTTTTTTGAATGGCTCTTGTAGTCAAAACATTAAATAATAATTTTTCAATGCATATAAAAATGTTTAATGGTAAAACAAAAAGCTGTGAGATTAAAAAGAGGTTTTTGATAAATACATAATCATATATAAATTAAGTATAATAATTATTAAAAAATAAATAAGGTTATCATAAATTTATTATTTATTTTAATGGCCATCTTTTATTGTTAATTACTTCCAAGTTCATCATCAAATTTCCTTTGTGTATTATTAGAAGCCAAGCCTAATTAATTAGGAATCAGAGTGATAATAATGGTTTAAAAATATTTAAATTTCAATTAAAAATTATAAATTACTATTAACAATATTTTCAAGTCGGCTTCTTTCTACCGAATCACTGTGGCTCTAATGTGAAAAAATACGGTTGGTGATTTTTTCAGGCATTTTCTTCATTGGCTTGGCATTTAACTCATGGGTCCATAATTTTTTTTTCTTCCATACGTCGCTTTTAGGCTGTACAGGATTTTCCCAGGCCAGGGAGTGAGGGCGTGGAATTTAAAATCTCCTCCGGCACCGGGACACGAACTCGTACTTTTTTAAAAATTTTTAATCTCATAATTTGGGTTATCTGATTGCTGGGCAACTAGTGATGCTGTGCACACGCGTTAGCCCAAGGCCACCACACCTCCTTTCTCATGGGTCCATCAGCCGTCCACTACTTGTGCCCACAGTAATCAAGAACTCTTTTTGTGTGTCTTTTCTGTTTAAAACTAAATAGTTCCCCTCTTATTTATTTTTTCTCTTATGTTGTTAACATTCAATTTAAAATTCTACTTTTATAATGTGTTTTTCATTTTAAATGTTAATGTAGGAAATCTAATTTTCATTTAAATTACTTTTTTAATGTGTAATTCATTTCAATTCCAAACATCTATACAACACTGGTTTTAGAACATACTAGATTTTATATTTCATTCATTTTGACATTCTTAGTTTTATTTTTAAAACAAAACTATCCTATAATTTAGAATCAAAGAGTAGTCATGAGAAAGCAATTTAATTACATTATAATACTAATTATAAGAACTATAAAATCTTCCCTACACAAAAAATTGGCTTTTACAGAATCTCATTTGTTCTGACCCATGATATCAGTATTTTTTAATTTCTAAATTGAAGCACAATTTTTAAGATGTAATCTCATTCTATCTCTTTTTTTCACTACTTTCTCTGAGTACCATATCTCTCTTTCTTGCTCTTAATCATGAATTGGATTAGGTAGATTGTAAAAGCAGAGTATGTTAAAAGGATCAACTTTTATAATAGTTGACTTGAGCAAACAGGAAGATCAACTCTCATACTCTTCATTTGTTCAGAAACTTCATTCACACAGAAATGAATGAAAGACAGGTGCAAGGTAAGGATTTTCTAGCTCAGGTGCTACAGACCTAATTGGACTTCGGCCTCACTTATTTATAGCTAAGCTATTCCTGCCTATCTTCCGCCATCCTCTTACTTCTATCTGTCTCAAATCATCCTCTACGTCATCCAACCACCTCTGCCTTGGTCTTCCTGCTAGTATCTTTCCGCCTGGTCTGTCATTCATTATCTTTTTTGATAGCCTCTCATTCGGCATTCTTTGAACACGGCCCAGCCATCGCAGCCTTCCTTCTTTGATGATTGCCACGATATTAGGCTCACCAATTTTTTAGCGAAATCAAGGATGTTTGAGCCATCTATTTTTCCTTATTTTCTAATGGCCATTCTTGTTTACTGGTCAAATATCTTTCGGAGGATCTTTCTCTCCCAAACCTTCAGGATCGTCTCACTCTCCTCAGTCATCACACAGCACTTTCAAGACAATAATTGAAATTTAAACAAACATCTTATTAAACGCAAAAAGCATTCTGCTACCACCTGATATTCTGCCTTTGATCGCTGCAGTTGCATCATTGTCTTCAGTTACTATAAATCCTAGATATTTGAAGCTCTTATAGTGCTTGAATTTGTGCCCATTAATTTGCACTTCTTCCTGACTTACTTCAGTTCTAGACATTCTCATATACTCTGTCTTAGCTTCATTTATTTTCAAGCCTCTGCTAGCTTCAAACCCTTCCAATGCTCCTGAAAGGGCAGGTAGTGTGCACGCTGCGATGGCTACATCATCTGTATACGCCATGTGTTGGGTAAGTTATAGATATTTTCTCCGGGGTTGGTTCTAATTGCTCTTATCACCTTTTCGAGAGCCAGGTTCAATACTATGGACGACAGTGGGTCACCATGTCTCAGTCTGCCAAATCAAACTCTTCCGATAGGGCTCCACCAACTCTTACCTGAAACTTTGTCTATGACTATGTCTATACTACAAAATGTTAACCAGCATTTCCTTGATAGTTGGCAGATGACAAAATATTGGTTCTTTTAATGAAATATTTTGAATTGAAAATATCAGCCTCATGGTAAAAAGAATATGAAGAAATAATTTAAGAATTGATCTCTGATTTTAAATTTATTACTTATTATTAATACGTTTGAATAATAAATATTTGTCTACAAAAATTTAGCTCCATGAAAAATCTACTTGGTGACTTTTTGCAATAAACTGATGATATATTTGTAATGAAATAAAAAATGATAATGTTTTATCATCAAGTAATTATTAAATCAGCACTTTAATTAAAAAAGACAAATTGATTTTTCAATATTCAGTTTAGAGTATTTATTTTAGATTTTTTTTTTTTCCCATTTGTTAATGTTAGTTGAATTTAGATATATTCAAATCCATATTCTAAATATTCTTGTCATTTCAAGCATAACAAATTATTAGTTATATTTTGGTTAAATTTTAAATAATTTTTCAGAAATAATTAAGAAAAAAAAGAAACGAAATGTGTAATAACAAAAAAAAAAAAGATGACTGTTACCATCAAAACTCTTTTCTAATATTATATAACCAGCTGCTTTACTGCTTCAGGAGCGCTCAGAATAGAGCAGTGTAGCTATGATGTCATACCTAGACTGCCGAGCAGTCCTAACGAAATATATCCCTATCTATTCCAGTAAAGCAGTGCTCTACTGCAGCATTAAATCACCACAAAAAAAGAGAAATAGTACCTTTAGAGAGAAGTATCACCAAAATCATTTTTTTACTTAGGGCTTGACGTCTCTAATAGCTAACATTTTTATTTGTATTATTATATAGAATGTTTTTTTAACTATTTTTCAAATTAGGATAGGATGAAGATTATTTTTTTTCTGGAAGGTATTCTTGTTTTCCTGAAAGATATAGCAAGGTTATAGCTTCTGATGAAGGATAATTTGATTAAAATAATAAAAAAAAGCCGCTGATGGCTGACGGACAATTTTTTTTTATTCGATTTTTGAATTCTACATATCGTGAAACATAAAACCTCAACTTTTGAGGGAAAGATAAATTTTTGTATTTTTTGGACGATTACAATGGTTCATTATTGAAAATAATAAACCAAAGTAGTGAATTAAGTAAATATTTTTAATCAGATCTATCTGCATTTCATTCTTAAGTTTATATTCATATTATTTCATTCAGTTTTTCGATATCATTTATGTATCTATGAAAAAGGATGACTTTTCATACATATTTTTAAAATTAAAGAAGTAAAATATGCTATTTTTCCAGGTTCTGCAAGAATATTTGAACTTCAAGTTGTGAATAACTATCAAGATGCACAGATGGATGGGGATATGGGATTTTCACTTCGTTATCAACAGAGAATATGTAATTGACTTCTGCCGGTCTCAAACAATTTTTAATCCATATCTGTTGATAAAATCTAGCCTATATTAAGTTATAAGAGAAAATATATGCTATTTTCTTTTGTTTAAAATCACAAACTTTAATTCCTTCTATATTTCATCTAAAAGCAAAACCACGTATAAGTAAGCTTAATAATAAGGTTCAGTGAACCCGAAGGTTAGATGCTGATACCACCATAACTTATCGTTTCTACTGATAGATAATGAAAACCAAAACTTTTTAAAATTGTATCATATGAATTTAAATAACCTGAATATTTACAAATCTGTAAAAATAGTGAAGATAATATTAAATCTGTTGAAGATAAGGTTCAAATTCATTCAATAATCATATTTTACTGAACAGTAATTTATTATGGTGTGGAGATTGACGGTTGACCGTAATTATAATTTGAGAAGTTGTTCGGGGGTGCAGTCAATATATAATACTATTATATGATACAGCATTATATTTTGACTGCACCTCCGACCAAGTTCTTCTCCAGTAATTTATAATATGTTTTTTAAATATTTTTTTGGCAATGAGCTCTCTTAAGGAAATTAATGGTTTTATTAAAGTAGAAGAAAGAAATACAACATTGTACGTCTGCTCAACGGTGTTCAACTGAAAACTGCTCAAACTGCTTGAGATAGATTAATAATGAGATACTGATGAATAATATCATTGGAGGTTGTAGTCAGTGAGAAACAAGTTAAAAAGAAATGTATTTTGTGCTCACTTTTTGGCTTAAGTTTAAGGGCTCCGACACATATGAGAGTGTAAACAGAGATAAGTAATATCAGTTTTAATTTCGATGGTAAAATCTTAAAATATTCGTTCTCTTATTTTTCTTGATTCAATGATGATAATAATAATAAAGAGTAACAACAGAAACTAAAGCTTGTATGTTTTTATTTAAGGATCTAACAAACAACAATCCATAAATAATTTTTTTAAAAAGAAGATTAATATACAACATTAAAATTATCAACAATACAAAAGTATCTTATTTACATTGGTGAAAAACAAACAAAATATAAACAGCAGAAATGAGTCGTATTATAAATTGCATCTAATATCTTTGTTACCAGGTTGGGAGGTTATATCCTCGTAAATGTTCAGAGAAGTTATGTTATCTGTGAACAAGTAAAGGTGTCCCAGCCTGTTGACTGATCTGCTCTTTCATTGCCGAGTACCATTTATCAATACTTGTATTGGATAGCAGATCTTTGAATGCATTACATCCTTCAATACTGTTAAGTACACCAAACACCGCTAGGTCTGCTAAATCTGGGTTTTTCCCTCCATGGAACTGATTTCCCTTCTTCTTCACTTCCTTTAACCACTTATTGGTTTCCTCGTATAATGAAAGACGGACGTCATCCTTAAGACGATGCCTGAAAATACACTTTTTAGTTTGAGGAATCAATAGTAGCAATAACTAGTTGATATTTGCAATTAAAACATACCTTTTCTTTAAACGTTTACCAATCATCCACATAGCTAAGGCGCCTATGTATACAACAAACAGTTCTTCGACGGCATTAAAATTTTTATCCCATTCACCAATCTTTAAAAAAATAATATTGATATGAATAGAAAATATTTGAATTTCAAACGGGAATTATTAAGAATTTTCAGACAGTGTTTTCACTTTTCAGGTACAATTGAAACTTGAATAATTGAAGATAAGATTAGTGGGAGTGTTAAGTAAAAATAAATAAATTATATTTATTTTTGCCAAAATTGGCATTTGGGCCTTCTGGTCCTTTTACCCAACTGCTTCTCGGGGCTACTGAGAAATAAATATTAACTGACTCAGGTGGGCATTGAACCCACAATGTTCTGAACCAGCCACTCTAGAATCCTTACCCCAACATACTCTATCATCACGTCCTCAATATCTACCATTACGCATGCACAAGTAGTTAAATTAGACTATTTATTAATTTCGATGAGAAAGCTGATTTATATTATAAAATATACTAGATTCATAATGAATATCAGAGTCAAAAAATAGATAATGAACATTGAAAACTTCCACTATGGATATTTGTCAAAACTTCAAATATACAAGATTCGAAACCAAAGACTATTTTTCAGTCTTTCATGTGATTTAATCTTCATGCAGTTATATTTCTATCAAGTTTATTTAGTAATAAATTTAAAAAAATAAATAAAAATAGTAATTGCCTCTGAAAACCATTTGAAAGCTTGAAGTGCTTCTTCTGTAGTTCGGTAAACATTTGGAGAAAGCATATGAACGAGAACCTCATCAGCCCATCGCCTCCATTTTCTTTCCTGACTGAAATATGAATAAAACATATTTTTAAATTGAAACCATAAAAGGCCAAAAATTATTTATAAGTTATCTAAAGAAAAAATACTTTATTATCAATTAAATAAAACATTGATTTATTGTAATCTATTAGTTATGAAATTACTAACTAAAAATTTAGCGATCTGAGAAAGGGTAACAACTATTAATTTATATATGATGGATTAATAATAAAATGGATATAAGAAATTTAAAAATCAACAAGTAACCCTGGTGGATAAAATCAACATTCCTATTCTGATATTTATAATAACCTACTAGTCCATAGGTGAGGAACCTTTTCATCTTTAGAGGCCACGTTAAGGTTATACCGTGATAATGGAGGTCACGATGTTTTTTTAATATTTTACTATTACTATTTTTATTTCAAAAACACATACACCCATAAGTATATTTAATTCTATTAACTTTTAAATTTCTGTAACATCATCATCGTCATTCCCTCTTCTATGCCATTCAATATGAGGGTACTGCTTATAGAGTCTAGTCAGGATGTCTCTCTCTTGTACCAACTCTATTCTTCTATTCCAATTTATTCCGAGCTTCCGGTAAACCTCCTTTACAATGTCCTCCCAGGAGATGTGAGGCCTTCCTGTGGGTCTTTTCCCTTCTGTGCAGATCTTGTAAGTCTTCCTGGTGCTTATATCTGGATCCATCCTAAGATGTCCAAACCACCTTAGTTTGTGCTCCTCTTGCATGGTCTCCGCTGGTTTGACATTTAGATTAGCCCAGAGTATGATAGGATAAGGAGGAATATCGATTTGTAGACAGCTAGTTTGGTTCGCTTTGACACCTCTCTTCTTGCCAGGAAACCTCGTCTGACCATTCTGAACATCTTCCCTGCAGCTCCAATTCTTTGGGCCACTTCTTCGTCTATGTAGCCACTCTCATTGAGATGAGCTCCCAGATATTTAAAGTTCTCGACCTGCTTTAATCTGTCCTCCAACCCTTAGTACCCTCATTATCCTTTGGGGTTTCTATCCAATTCATATGCATTTAGTCTTCCCCGTATTAATCTTCATATTTACTGTGGATAATTCTTCTTGGAGGACATTTATACTATGTTGGAGATCTCGATCATTGGCAGCTAGTAAGACGAGGTCGTCAGCGAAGGCCAACAGGGAATATCAGGTAGGGTGCAGATTTCTGTGCCCTAGCTGAAATTTTCTTATTATAGGCTTAACCCTCCTTAGTGCAAAGTCCAGAACCATAATGAAGAGAAACAGACTCAGGCTACAGCCTGACGGATACCCAATGTAATCTCAAATCCTTTTGAAATGTGGTTTCTGGTTCTGATCACATTCCTTATCACATCTTTTTAAAGAGACTCATCACTGCCAAGATTGTTCCACAGTCTACACCCCGCTCAGACAGTGCCCTTTCTATGTCTTCTTTCTTCACTCAAAAATGTCAAAAGCTTTCTGGAGGAGCACGAAGCAGATGGAGACCTCTTTCTATTTCTCAACAGTCTCTTCTATTATTTGTCTCATTGTGAATTTCCATTACATAAATAGTTAAATATTAATTATACTAGTGCTATAATAATGAAGCGGCCACAAAAATTAGAGGAGGCCTCTGTTCCCCACCTATGTACTAGTCCATTATTGAGAATCTACATAATGTGTTAAATCGAACTTACTTAAGACTTTCATTTTTTGATTCAGATGCAATACTCCTTTGGAACATTAAATAATATCGATTTAATATCTCATTTCTTATTTTTCCATCATCATCAACATATGACATGCTCGGATAATAATTACTGACTTCTTCGAGAGATACTTCTTTGTCGTTAAGATGTGATGTTAACGCTGATATTATCATCGAACTGTCATTCAATTGCTATGGAAATCAAAAATAATAATATTAAACCATAAAAAGAAGTAGGATATATATTAATAATAACAAACATATCGATTGTTTAATCACTGCATCATATTTATATTTCTCTTCACAGAGCATAAAAGTGGTTAATAATTGCTTCAAAACTACACTTACTTTAGCATTACACCATATTTGAATTTACATCAATCATTGGTTGGTGTTTAATTAGTAAAGTTATATATATTTTCCTCCAGCATCTAATCTGTGGTTATTAATATACTATTTTGATATATTCGGAAAATACTGATATATTATATATTAATGTATACAACTCTATATGTTAGTAATCTACCATAATTTACAATGCACAATATTTCAATACATTGTATTATTTAAAAAAATTTATATTATATTTAAAAATCAAGAATCTCTCTCCTTTCTTACAGAAAAATAGAACATCTGTTATCCTGGCGGTAAGTTCAATGTTGTGTGCATCCTTTTTTAACATAGGAACTAGATATACTGCATTACATAGTTGGACCACTTGCATATAAGCACTTTTAAAAGGGCTCTCAATTGAACTGTTAAAATTAATAGAATCTGTAACAATCAAGCAAACTCATGTTTGCTAGGACGAGTCAGTATATCCTTTCAATGAATGTTTGTAGTTCAAGCATTCCGTCTTATGAAATATTGCACAAATTCACATAATTGAACTTCAACTACTAACATTATTGAACTTGAAACTACTTCTCAGTCTAAGTTGCTTATTTAAAATTATAACTCATATAAAGACAATAACTCAAGCATTGAGGCATGTCTAATTGCCAGTTGTGTGTGTAACAACTTTGGAGTGGTGAAGAGGTTAAATCAAGATGTATTATCCTATAATTACCAATATAGTACTAGATACTGGTAATAAGTCATAAGAGTTCCACACGGATTATGTGTGGTTCACAATAACTTTGGCCACACTTGTTCCTGGAGAGCTGAATGCATCAGGGATTATCCGAAAAGTACGAAGGTAAGCAATCTTATACCTTAGATTATACCTTAATTGAACTTATACTTATATATTATACAGCTATGTACATATATTATACTTCTTTATTTTTCTTCGAGTAATTACCGTTATAAAAAAAATTAATAATTAATAAATTAGTAAATTAATAATTTCAATAAATACTTTTTTAAAAAGGAAATTTTAAGATGGAAATACTCGGGTTTTTCTAAAATGTGTCAAAGGGGAACTGGTGGCTGGGACAAGAGCTGACAACATTAGAATTTTATTCGGCATTTCATGAACAAATGTAACCGAAGTGATTGTGAACCATGCAGAACTCTTGTGAACGAGTACCTAGTTCTATGGACAAATAATTAAGGTACTACTTTTCAAGTGTTGCTCCACTTTGATGGATGGTCACAAGATCTCATGATCACACTATAAACGGAATTCCAAGAATGGTCACGTATCGACATGTTCTGGGGTATAACACATCAAGACTACACCAAAATTTAGGTAGTGATTTTTTACTTCTGAAAACTCCAACTGGTCCTCTTCAGTTAAAATCAAGGCCTTAATTATTTTTAATTACATTGCTACTTTCAACTTCCACTCGCTCAAAAGGGATAAACAAAGTCTTAAGGGGTCATTTTCAGTTAAGATCATGGCCTTATAAGATGGTTCGGTCACCTCCATCTACATTTGAACACACTCATAATGATCGTTATGGAATACCATGGATAAACTTAAACTGGGACAAATAATGGCAGCAATAAGATCAGATGGTGGACCAGAAACCACCGTGGAAGAAACATTTGGAAAGTACTAGGACCAGAACAACCAAGAGGTTAAGGCCCTGAGGCAGAATACGGAGTATCTGCCTGGCACGGAGTTCATTGCACCATGGGACGTGTGCGACCTGCGGATAGGGATTGACAGGTCCAGGATTGGAAGAGCTCCGGGACTCCACACCACTGATGTGGCAATCCTAAAGAGGAGTGCTCCCTATATTGAAGAGGAATTGCTAGAGATAATGAATGAATGCAAGGATAGAGGACACTTCTCAACTCAATGGAAGGTTGCCAACCTGAGGTCACTGTACAAGGGAGGAAGCAACAACAAGGAGATAGCAATGTACTAGAGATTGATATACCTCCTCCCTGATCTACGTCTTAGAGCATCTCATTCTGAAGAGTCTAGCACCAGTCCTGCGGACAGCAAGTTACCCGAGACAATACGGATCCACGAAGGGATGCGGCACCAGAGATGTCCTGATGAGGTTACGCAGGGAGGTTGATAACAAGGCTGAGAAATATGTCATGATGCTCCTCTTTGACATATCCTCAGCCTTCGATTACGTACGGTGGCTCTGTGTATTCTAGCGCCTCCAACAGTTCGACACACCCAGCAACTTATATTCCCTCATTAGGAGGTACCTCAGCGATAAGAAAGCCAGGATACCTTCTATGAGTTAGAGCGGAAAATAGAAAGAAGATGTCCACAGGGCTCAGTTCTGTGCAAGTTAGTATTCGACCAGTTGCTGGGTGAATTGGACTTCTGTGCTGTTGCTTATGTTGATGACCTGGCTTCTATAGTAGCAGTAAATAACAGGAGATTGGTGGTGGAAGGAGAGAGGTGTACCACCGTAGACAAAGGATGGTGTGCAACAAAGTAGATAAAGATGGCGGTGGCGAAGATCTAGGACATTCTGTTGAAGGGTTCCAGGGATAGAGCCCACCCTATTAGCCTCAGAGAAGGCGGAGATAGAGTTTTCCTGGGTGAGGAACCTACCATAAATATTATAAAATAAAGAGTTTTATTCGTAGCGGTAGACGTAGGTACTCCCAACATATTAAGCCACTGCTGCCGAAACCCTGTATGGTAAACTTTCCAGAAAGGGAGGAAAGAGTGATCATTAAAGCCTGAGGCCACTCGCCATTGCATATATACACTCATTAAGTAGTATCAATTATAATACAAGATATCATAAATAAGAAAACAAGTAATATATTTAAAAATAGTTGAAACTAACTATATACTTATCACCAATTTTAACAAGTACTACAGGAACTTTTTTGTAGTCTGTCCACTTAAGCTGTTGTCTAAAAACTGAATCAACTTCTACCAAATCATAGGAAATACCATAATAGTCCAGAAAGGCACGAACTTTGCAACAAAATGGGCAAGTAGTATATTGGAACAAAATTATTTTCAGCCCAGAAGAGTCTGTTGGATACCTTACCTAAGAAATTTAATTAAAAAAAACAACAAATCAATTTAAAATATTAGTTATACTTATGCCAGTTTCAAATTTTAAAGGCTTACTTGTTTGGAAATTTTAACATTAGGTAATTCATCCAATAAAGTTACAGTATTTCCCTGAACTGGATTTAACAATGCTGACTTTTGTTGATTTGTCTTGAAGAAGGAATAAACAGTTCCAGTTGTAATACCAGCTGCTGCTGCAATAAGAGCAATTTTAATCTTAGACAATCCTTGTTTAGGTTTTCCAGTGCCGGTCTTAAAGGTTCTGAACATAAACGTTCTGTCAAATGCTTTCAGCTGGTGACCATTATGTAATGTATAACAGTTTGTCCGAATTAAAACAGGTCTGATGAAATGCCACATAGTAACAATTACACAATACAATTTAACCTATTATGATCTAATATTAAATTATAACATTGATAACCTACTGAAAATCAGTTTAACATAATCAAATACAGTTAAGTGCGCAACATAGAGCATAGATCGTAAAGGAGTCTAACTTCCTTAAGTTTTTATAAAGAGAATGATTTCTCTCATCAATATCAATATGGCAAGAACATCTTGTATTATCAATATATCAAAGGAGGATTGCTTCTTCAGAAATATAATCTTTCAATGGATGCCAAGCCATTGCGGTATCCGCGGAAATGAAATGGCACATGAACTGGCCAAAGAAGGAACTGCATTACAACAGCCAAATAAGCAGATGTCATTCCAAAGGGGTAAGGAAGAGATAAAAAAAGCGAAACAGGTTGCATTCCTGGAATTTCTAAAGATAATTACAATTGGGAAGCAAATCACTAATTGAAGAGGAAAGGTTACCTGTTGACATGCCGAGAAAGGATGCGGTGGCAAAATATCGTAAGGTCACTGGGAATGACTACCTGAAGATCATCTCCACAAAATAGATGTGGCAGACACTCCAATCTATAATCTATGCAATGCGGGAGTAGTCCTGGATGCAACACATTTAAGTACTTAGGCGGTACAGTAGTTAAGGAGTTAGATTCTAGATGTCCAAGTCTTCAGATCAAGGCTGGGTGCTTTTAGAGGCGGGGTGGCCGAGTGGGCTAACGCGTGGTGCTGTACACACGCGTTGCCCTGCAATCTGATGACTGAAGTTATAGATGAAAAAATAATTACGAGTTGCGTCCCGGTGCTGGGGGGGGGGAGAGGAGGGTTTTTAACTCTGGCATTAATCCCCAGCTCTCACGTCCTGGCCCAGGAAAACCTCGTATATCTTAAACAGCGAGGAAGGATAGAACCAAAAACAGAGGGGGCGGGGTGGCCGAATAGGCTAAAGCGTGTGCACAGCACCGCTAGTTGCCTGGCAACCCGATAACAGAGATTTGAGATGATATAAAAAGTACGAGTTCGCGTCCCGGTGCCGGAGGGGATTTTAAATTCCCCGCCCTCACCCCCCGGCCCGGGAAAATCCCGTATAGCCTAAAAGGCGAGGTATAGAAGAACAAAAAAAAAAAAAAAAGAAAAAAAAAAAAAGGATACAACACTTTTATACATATGCTCTTGCTTATTGAAAATAAGAAATTGAACACAAACAAAATCAAAATGTTACAGGATTGCTAGAAGTCTAATGGCGGAAGATGGAGAAGAAAAGGCATAATTTAAAAAAAATTACTCTGATCACTCGATAAAACAGTCAATGTAATAAAAACTTTTATACTCATTTCACTTGAATGGGGCAACACAATATTGTCTATTATAACTAGACTTCGCAAATTCCTTATGTGATGGAAATATGTAAACATGAGATTGCTTCCTAAGGAAAAAAAAGCCTTATGTTTTAATTGGTAAAGCATCGCGTGACGGTAAAGGATGCTAATTCAGACGATGAGAGTATGAAACAAATTATATAGATGGATATCCTAATTAAATACATGAAGTTTAATTCGGACACTATGGTTTTATTAAGAACATTTACCATGAAATTAATTTCAATATATCCTGGCCAGAATCGATGGGAGAAGCTTTTTTTTTTAATTTAGTTTTATCAAGAAAAGTGGATGCCTAAGCAAGATAAGTGAACCCCATCTATGAATAAAATCTAATAATGAAAATGAAAATTTTTATTCTAATCGAATTTATGGTAGTAGTTGTTATCCCTGTCATAAGAATTCGAATGAAGCTTAAAAATTCACATAATCTGACTTGTGTAAGTTCACTATCTTCCATATTTCACAGCCTTTATGTTCTTTACAATTATGTAAGATTATTGATTTCAATAGTGAAATGGAATTTGATGAAATTGGTAATGGACCATTAGTAGAATCTTCCCCGAATGTTCTCCAGCTTTAGGCTAAATTGGGCTCGTACAACTTAGTTTTTGAAATACAAGCGTATATTTTTTTTAATCTATTTATTTTTTTTATTTTCTCTCCTTTTCGGGTATATGGGGTTTTCCTGGACCAAAATTTGGGGTAGGTCACTTTACTTGCGTGTTTGATGATAAAGTGATAGCGGTGGAATCTTAGGACCTACGAAGGTTTAATCGTTTCATAAAATCAAAGCAATTTGATCAAGCAAGACCCGGTGGCCAGGGGGTTTTCAGTGTGCTTGATTCAAAACATTCTGGATTAGATTCCTTTCTGGGGAAATTAACAATTATTTTTTACAGCTTCGAGAAAGTGAGATGAGTTTTCTCAGGCTCACTTTGGTAAGTACGGAGCGACAACCTCTTGAGCCGTTAGCAGTTTGCAAAAAAATCAAGGCTCTCTCCTCGAACCGATACAAGTTTCCAAAATCCGACTGGGACCATAGTTGTTGATCGTGATTGGAATTCTCTCTCAGAGCTATATTTTTATATTATGGTTACCTAAAGTAAACTAGCCGATCCAGGACTTAATTTTTGGGAGAGCTTTCAGCCCTAAAGATTTTTTTTTCATATACATATAACGACAATTATTAACCTAAAAAAAAAGAAAGAAATCAACTGCCTATATGAAATGATGTTTAAATGGTTCTTGAAGTTATATTAAATGTAATTACACGAACAGGAATACTTTAAGAGATAGTTTTACTATTTTTTTTCTGTAAAACATGATTATATTTTACCATTTATTGGGGAGGCGGTGGTGCTAAAATGTATAAAAAATAATACTGTTGCATTTCACTTCTCCAATACACTCTACTGCCCTAGTGATCTGTACATCCCATAAAACTTCTGTATTCCAAGTTATTTATGGCAGTTCTACACCATTTTGGAATCTCCAACTAATTTGTAATATCGCTCTCTTTCCACAATGTCCTGTATTAAGGATTTCATTTTTGGGACTAACATTTTTTATAAATAACTGCAATCATAGAACAGAAATATTATTTATTCTGTTTCATTGGCCGTGGGGTGACCCTCCTGGGGCATATCCAACCTCTACAAAGTGGGTACCCTTAATTAAATAATTTATTAAGGAGGAAAACCTGAAGGTTGAACGTGATCCTGGCCCAATCTCCTCCTTGCACAGCCATTGGCCTTGAAACAGTACATTTCCTAAATAGCAATGAACCCAAGACCCTTCATGGGTTGTAGTGGTACAGGGAGGGGGGGGGGAGTAATCATAGAAACAAAAGAGCTGTAGGAATAACATTTTCATATTTATTCCATATATCGTTACATTAGTAGTTGAAACACGTGCGTTATAAGTTTAAAAAAGATAATATTTGTAGTTTTATAAGTTTTTGACTCAGATAATACATAGGAACAAAAATAGAACAATAAAAGAAGTTTATTTTAATTTCGAAGGAGACAGGACCTTCATCCCGAAAGTCACTAGCGGATCCATGATTTATTTTTGGGGGGGCTTCAGCCCGAAAGTTTTTTTTTCTCATAAAAATAACGATAATCACTTTGGAAAAAAAAGAAAGAAACTAACTACCTATATGAAATTGTGTTTAAATGATTCCTAAAACCCTTTTAAATGTAATTACACGAACAATAATACTTTGAGAGATAATTTTTTAATATTTTTTTCGATAAAACATGGTTACAATTTCCTATTTTTGGAGGGGGGCTTCAGCCCGAAAGCCCCCCCCCCCCTTAGATCCGCCCGTACCGAAAGTCTGGAATCCGCAAGCCGTTTTCAGTTTAAATACTGTCCTTCCATCCATCTTCTTTTTCCTAAATCATTTCTGTTTCGTTTCGATCTGGTGTATCTGTTAATATTAAGAAACATAAACATAGATTAATTTTATTAATATTGGCACTTATTCTTATAAAATGGACATCGTTTTCCTTTTGTTTCGTTTATGTGATTCTGGTCAAACCAGTGGTCCATTATTCGGATATTTATATGGATTATTTTTAGAAGATACCAGTCCTTAATATTTAAAAAAAAATATCCCTTTGAGTTAATGAAATAATTGAGTAACCAAAAAATCCTTTGATTATAAGTTTAATAATATTTTCCCAACCTGTGTGACAGTTCAGGTTACTTGTAACCTACAAGTTTGTTACCTTATGTTTATTACTTTCTTGGCTGTGCCAAGGGGAGTGTTTACCGTCGCTGTTTTAGTTCATGGCGATAGATTTTAACATAATATCTGTTATATATATCTTCCTAAGTATTAGGAATTCCTCGAATACTTATTATGTTGTGATTTTTAACATTTTGCGTTTTCATAAATTTGATATCCTTAATTCATAGTATTTTAATTTGATCACATTATTATTGTTAAATCTATTTTACTGTGAATATGATGGGTGACAGTGACGATGATAATAAACAATATGATATCACTAGTTTCCTTTTTGGTAATATTGATGAAAGTGGGCAGTTGGAAGGTGATGAATTTCTTGATAATGAAACTAAAAGGCATTTATCATCTTTGGCCAAATTCGGTTTGGATTCTGTTATCAATGAAATTGTAGCTGATGAAGAAGTAATTGCTAATGAACTACATAAACAAGATTTAAATGGTGATTTCGATGATTTAGATTATAGTGAAAGAAAATCACCCTCAGCTGTTGACTATTCAGATATAAATGAATGCATTACAGAGGAAGTTGTAACAGAGACTCAAATAAAAGATGAGAGTATGAGTGATTATGATGCTGATGATGAAGGTTTAGGGGGTAATATAGATAATAATTTGATGCCTCCTCCCCCTGTGCCATCATTAAAACATGAAAATGAAACAGAGGCTGAGGCCGAAAGAAGAAGACTTGAAACTCCTCTTGCTGCAATGCTTCCATCTAAATACTCAGGAGTTGATGTGAGAGGATTGTTTCCTGATTTCCGTGTCGATAAGGTATGTAAAATGCATAAAACATAAGTCTATTCTTCAATGAATTGATATTAATTATTTTGAGTTAATTATTTAATTACTATTTTACAGGTTCTTAGATTTTCACGGCTATTTGGACCTGGAAAACCTAGTAGTTTACCTCATATTTGGCGAAGTGTGAGGAAGAGGCGAAGAAAAAAGAAACATCATGCCCAAGGTCAAAGTCAGAATTCAGATTCAGGCTCAGATACCGAATCTCCCAGAGTTAAACGAGGTTGGTCGTTTAATTATGCTACTGCACCTGCAGCGGATCAAGTTCAGTCTGATGACGAAGTAAGTTATAAGAATGTATTAATGACCATGATTATATTTTAGGAGCTAGTTTACATTAGGGAGTCTAGAGATAGGAACAAAACTGTAAATCACAAGTTCTAGCTCCTCCTTTTATAACATTACTCCCCTAATTACATTAGGCCTCAAAATCTTTCTGCAAGTATTTGAAGATTCTTACTATAATACTGGTAGAAAATGTTGCATAAATTAAATAAAAAATTACAATGAAAAAGAAAAAACTGAAATGAAAATGAAAGATGTCACAAAAATAATTTATTTGTCAGACTCTAAAATCACTTGAAATATTTATTCTTAAAGTATATCATTTCTTCAAACAACCTGAAAAATTAAAATATGTCTATAAAACTTTTTATTTTTATCAAAAATTTCCTTTTTATATTATCTCATTGTTTTTCTCCTTTCTTTACCTTTCAATAGATTTATAATTTACTATAGAATTTTAAAAATCTAAACAATTTATGATAAGTATTTTATGGCAAATTTGGCGTCCAGGAGACCATTTCTAAACAATTTATGATAAGTATTTTATGGCAAATTTGGCGTCCAGGAGACCATTGCTAGAATTAGGGTGGCCTTCTGTCTTATCTTGAAAACAATAAATTTTAACCAATGAAATCCAGGAGCTGTTACATTCTGTATGAACTTCCCTACCAAATTTTGATGTTCTCCTCAATCAGAATATTGTTATCACATTTTTATATTATTATCGTTGTGTTATGAATTTAAGGATTTAATTTGCAATTTGTCAATCTCCTTCCATGAAATTTTATTTCTTTTGACATCTTGTTTGTCTGAATTCATCCCTCCTGGTATTCCTAAAAGAGATCTGTACTACTTTATTATATATATAATAGAATATGGCCTTCCTTTATTGCTTTTGTCTGTTTCTGATTTTATGTCTTTAAATTATGAATGTATCCTTGTTTTTAGAATTATAGAAATAATATATTTATAATTATTCAAAGAATATAAAAAACATTCAGTTTCTTCAAAGCAATTAAAGGTTTTATTGACAATTGTATCACTAATTTTGTTGAATATTGTCAATTCGATAATTTTGTTTAAAAGTCCCTTTTACTTGTAATCTATTCTCATATGTTGTACAATAATCCGTCTTCATATATATTAAATTATTTTTTTTTAAGGAAAAACTTTTAAGGCTGCTTGAAAACAAGGGACCAACGAAAAAAACAGATATTGGTGAAGCTGATGATAGTGGACCAAAGGTAGCTGATTGGAGATTTGGCCCAGCTCAAGTTTGGTATGATATGTTGGAGGTACCAGAAACTGGTGAAGGATTTAATTATGGTTTTAAACTAAAGGAAAAGGTAATTAGGATTTTTTTCTTTCTATATATTTATCTTAACCATAAGCTCTATTTTAATTTATAATGATTTCATAAAGATTGAAGATGGTGAAAGAAATAATACTGAAGATGCTAATGTTAATTATCCAGAAGATGCATTTTTAATGGTTTCTCAGCTTCATTGGGAAGATGACGTTGTCTGGAATGGTGAGGATATCAAACACAAGGTATCTTAATTTTTCTTGTGAGTTGAAATATATATATATTTTTTAGTTTGATTAACTATATACTTTTCTCATAACATAGGTTTTACAAACACTTAATAGTAAAACAAATGCTGCTGGTTGGCTACCAAGTAGTGGAAACAGAACTGCTCAAGCTTTCAGTCAACCAGGAAAAGGATTGCCTCACATTTCAGGAATGAGAGCACCTCCGACACAAATGAATAATAGTATTAATCAACCTAACAAACAAGCGGCCAAACCTCCTGTGTAATTTTTTTTTCATTATTATATATATTTTTGAGTGTGTGTTTTAAATAGTTTTCTTTTTCTTTTTTTTCTAATTTGTTTGTAAATTTATTTGCTTCAGGAATAACACACCTAATAAACCAAGAGTTGAAGAAAATACTGATGACACTTGGTATTCTATATTTCCTGTCGAAAATGAAGAACTTGTGTATGGACAGTGGGAAGATGAAGTGATTTGGGATCCTGAATCCATGAACAATATTCCTAAACCAAAGATTCTTACATTAGATCCTAACGATGAAAATATCATACTTGGCATTCCAAATGACGTTGATCCAGCCAAACAGAGGCTTGAAAATGTTACACCTGTTAAAGTAAAAATACCTCACCCGCATGTTAAGAAGTCCAAAATTTTACTTGGCAAAGCAGGTGTTATTAATGTCTTGGAAGAAGACTCACCCCCACCTACTCCAAAATCTCCCGATAGAGATCCATTCAACATTTCAAATGACAGGTTATTAATTAAAAAAATATATTTTGCTATAGTGTGTAATACTAATTTACTGTAGAAGTACCTGGTTCTGCCATAAATAATGTTACAAAAGTGAAACTTTGTTTACATCCTTGGGTGTTATTTAGATAATTCTTACTTTTTTCTTATAAGGTTATTTTCTTTTACATGTCAGGATAATAATTCCAATTACTTTGTATTTTTCTTTTGCGGAGTTAAAATGGGGAGTGGGGTGATAAAGAAAACCGAATAGCTGTGATTGCCTTACACAAAGTTGGAAAATGTAGGTCAGAGATTTTCAACGCTTTGAAACCTTTGAGTATCAGCCATATACCCGCAAGCAGTGGCTGCTCGAATTAAAAAAAATTCCATTCGAAAACAACAAATCATGTCTTAGGAAATGGGCATCTTTGTCAGATCAATGTCTCACATAATACAAAGTGACATTAGGATGGGTGCATTTCGAAGAATGGCAGGACAAAGGCTAACGACTTCCCTAAATAAAATTAGAGTGGATAGATGCAAAGTGCTCCTTGGCCGTTACACCAATGGTCTTCATCGAAATATTTTGTTTATCGATGAGAAAAGTTTTACTATTGAAAAATAATTTAATTGCAAAAATGATCGTGAATACACACACTGCTCTAAAGAAGCCCAGGAAGTCATTGGAAGAGTGGAAAGAGGTCATCATCCTTTCTCAGTGATGGTTTGGTGGGGAGTTTGCTTTGATGGCACCACAAAGCTCCATTTTTGTGAAGAAGGAGTTAAAACTATCAGGATGATATTTTGGAACCTGTTGTCAAGCCTCTAAATGATACTCAGTTTACTGGGTCATTGGGTTTTCCAGCAGGATTCCGCTCCAGCTCACAAGGCCAGGTCAACTGAGCAGTGGTTGCAAAAGAACATTCTAGAGTTCATCTCTGGCAGGGATGCCCAAAAGTTGTGCCATAAAATTTTTTGAGGGGTACATATTTTGACACGTTTTGAATTTTTGAGGGGGACAAATTTCGACGGAGTTAAGCATATCCAGTTTCTATTAATTGTTGTTTGATCATTCAGTGAGTCAATTGAAAAAAAAAAAAAAAAAAAAAAACATGTTAGCTAAGCATGATTCTATTTAGATATCTTTGCTGCTAAACTATTGGGTCAAGAAACATTACTTCTTTGCCAAGAGTTAAACGTAAAACTCTTCATGGGTTGTTGTGGTTCAGGTTGGTATTCAAAAGTTTATTAATTTTTCAAATTTACATGACTCCCAAGAACTTAGGAAGTCCATAATCCTTTGAAGAAAATTATAAGTATTTTTTAGTGGAATTAAAAAAAATATAAAAATCAGTTATAATTTTCTATTAAGTATGCTTATTTTGTCAAAACAATCAACATTGCATTTTAGCCATGACTCAGATAGAATCTCATCTTGAGATAAACATAAAAAATGATTTATTGATGAAAATAGTATTATGACATAATTTCATCTAAATATCATGAATTATTTAGTTCTAGACAATAAAATAAAAAAATTGTTTAAATAGTGGAGAGTATATTGAATAAACTAAATCATAAGTGATTATGAATGTCTTTTCAATTATAAGATTTTTTTTTTTTACTTTAATAAACTGGCTCTATATGTATGATTTTGTTGTATTATCTACGTTTTTTGTAGTTTTGTATTATCTATGTATTGTATTATAATTTGTATTGATTAAACTCTTTTAATTTTTTTGTGGACAATAGAAATTGGAATACATAAATTATACTAAATTAAATTTTAATAATGTTATATCTTAATTTCTTTTCTTATATACTATAAAAAAATCTCTTTAAATGAACTTTGATTTTTTAAAAATTGAAAGACTTTTTAAATTTATATTATTGTCTTCCTGTAGTTGTTCAATTTTTTTAGAATTGTAATTTTAATGAAATGCTTTGTTTTGAAATATAGCCACTATCAGCCACGAAGTTCAGACACAGCGTTGAGGTTGAAAGTAAGTGGCGGCAACTTGATCCAACATTCAACTCCTGTTGTAGAATTGCGCGCTCCATTCGTGCAAACGCATATGGGCCCGATTAGGCTTAGAAATTTCCATCGTCCTCCCATGAAGAGGTTTTCTCATGGGACACTTTCTCGACCTGGACCTCATACAATCATACCTCTTCTGAAGCACATAAAGAAAAAAGCCAAGGTATGTTAGAGAAATTATTAAACATGTCATTAATCATTAATATTGTTAATTAAAGTTCAAATATTTATTAAATTCTATATTATTTATTTAGGAAACGTATGTTAATTATATGTTGTTTGTTTAGTTAAGAGAACAGGAAAGAATGGCTTCTGGTGGTGGGGATGTTTTCTTTATGAGGACTCCAGAAGATTTATCCGGTAAAGATGGGGATATTATTCTTTGTGAATTTATTGAAGAACATCCACCGCTCATTAACCAGGTAAAAAATGTTTTATTTCTTTCTGCTTTCTCTTTAGTAGATATTATTAAAGTTAATCATTCAACTCGGATGTTGTTACTGTTTATTGCTCACTATCTTCATTCATAGAAGAACCACACATCGTCAATGAGAGTGATTTATTCAAATTAGCTATTTTCGACTTTTCATCTATTTAGATCCATCAAATCATTCATTCCAGATTCATATATTAGATTCCATTCCATTGTGTCATAACAGCGATTATATAAACTTCCTCATTTGTATATTTTATTTTACATTCTTTGATGTAACAGTGGAAAAACACCACTTTCTAAAATCACTTTTAAAATAATCCCTCCTGAAAAGTAGTGATATGTTAGATTCACCCTAATACAGAACACCAGCACGATATGTATTTTGAAGTTGTTCCTTTTCTCAATCATTCGGAAAATTGGAGTTACAGGGTTTTGTAGTTTAATTTATGATCTGCTATATGTATTTAATGTTTTGTTAACTTTCTCGTTTATATTATTTTCTATTAACCTGAATCTCTCTGGTGCTTAAATCTTGCCACTTGTTCTAAATGATGAACATTATTTTTTAAATATTGTTTACAAAATCACAATATGTATTATTTTTTTGTTTATTTGTATAATTATTTTTCTCATTATTTCTTCCTTGAATATTTCAAGAAAAAAAATTACTTATTCTTCTCTTACCACATATACAAAAGGTTAGTTAAGTGTTGCGTGATGCAGTTAGAAATCAATTCAATTTTCTTTTACAGCTGCAAACTTTTATGCCGATGATATTTCACTTCCATTCATTTCTACCATATGTATTTATAGTTTGACGAACCTAAATTTTGTGTCATCTTAGTTAATTTTTATTTTATTTTAGTTGTAGAGATAGTAGTGACAAGAAATTCATATTTTTTATCAAATTAGTTATTTAAAATAAAATTTGTTAAACATGTCGTTGTGGTTATGTGCAAGCTTTTCATCTGCCAATTATGGAATCTTAAACCAAGCAGTAAAGCCTCCATGACCCACCAACCTGCCGAGTTTAAAATATATTTAACAGTTCAGTGGGTTGGAACATGCAAGGTATTAAACAATGCCAGCATGAGACTGATGCTGAAAAACATTTTATTTTATATATATTTACTTATTGTCACTTTTAATATACACCTCTCCTCTATCCCTACAATGCTCCATATGAATCCTCCATTGTTTAAAACAATGTTGAAAGTCTTCTTTTGTCAGCTCCTTCTTGATGCGTACTGCTTTCTCTTTCCTAACTTCAAGAGGCTTAAATCATGTTTCTTTTAATGCAGATTTCACCTTAGGAAAAAGATAAAATTCGTAAGGCACAAGTTATATCTGATGGTCTAATCATAGATCTAGACAATGCGGAATGAGCCATTGCATTGTCTGGTTGAAGAACTCATGATTTGTCCTTCCACAATTCAGGTTGTTTTTCTTATTCTTTCCCGGAGTTCAACAAGAATGTGAATGTAGTAATGTTGATTAACAGATTGACCTTCAGAGACCCTTTGTAGGTACAAAATCCTATGGATATCGAAAATGCACAACGAGGATGTCACTCGTAGTTTGTTATTTAATAATAAAAAAAAAAAAAAATATAACTATTTTTGATTGATAATAGTTATTAAAATTGTCACAACATACAGGACGGTCTTTATAATCCTAACACCTAGATTGCATGACCTGTTCTGATTATCAAAGGTTTAATTTAAAATGATGGAAAAATTGCACAAGGTAACGAAAATATTTTCATTTAAGCATAAACACATCGTAAACGAAGACATAATTTGTTAAAATGATATGAGCCTTTCAGTTGACAGGCTAACTGACAGTAAAGTCGTTTTTGAGTAAGGTAATTTTAGTGATATTTCTAGTTGCAAAATGTATATCTGTACAGACAGTGAGTTAGTTGATTCTCGAATAGGTGATTTTAGTTTTGAAATATATGACTATGAATAAAGGTATAAATTTTGCCTCTAGAAATATCACTAAAATTAATAATCAAAAATGTTGAAATTGGAGTTAAATCATTCTGTCAATTGAAAGGTTCATATAATGTTCGCTGAGTCTTTGATTTTGTTGCTAAAGAAAATGCCTGATCTCCTAAATTCCTTAAAAGTACCATGCTTCGGTAGTTGACATTGTATTCATTCGCCTACTTCAAGCAAGTATTAAATGTCTTTATGGCATTTTTATGACTTGTCTATAATGAATAATAAAATGGATATAAAGAAATGTTCTAGTGAAATAAAAAATATATTCCATACCTGCTTTTGAAATTAGCTAGCCAATCCTAATGGCACTAAAATCTGCTTTTTCATTGTCCTTAAAAAAAGATATTAAAAAAAAAATAACTTTGACTTTGCAGCTAATATATTTCTGGAAATTGGGCGCCCTTGTGATCTCTGCTGAAAAATGCACATATAAAGAGATTTCTCAACTTCTGGATGACTGCCTAGTTTTAGCGTTTTCATTTTAGAGACACCACAATACACTGTTTGTACCGCAAGAAGCAATTCCATTAAGGAACTGAGCCATTTACATTCCTTGTCAGTCAACTTCAACTTTTTTTTTCTTTCTTGTTCGGACTATTGAGACTGTCCTGTATTTACGTTAATGATTCTTTGTCATGTTTCAGGTTGGAATGTGCACAAAGGTAAAAAATTATTACAAACGAAAAGCAGGCAAAGATCCAGGCCCTCAGGAATATAAATACGGTGAGGTTGCTTATGCTCATACATCTCCTTTCCTGGGTGTATTGCCTCCTGGAAAGTCAATTCAAGCACTTGAAAATAACATGTATAGAGCTCCGATATACGAACACAAAATACCTAATACAGATTTTCTTATCATTAGAACCAGGTATTTTTAATAGTTTACTATGTATAATATTATTTGTTTTTCCAATTATAATATCAATATGTTAAATTTTTAAAGGCAACAGTACTATATTCGTGAGATTGATTCTCTATTCGTGACTGGACAGCTTTGCCCCCTGTACGAAGTACCTGGCCCTAACTCGAAGAGAGCTAATAATTTTGTGAGAGACTTCCTTCAGGTAATTATATCTGTTTGTTCTTTTGTTGACCTCACAATTTCTTATAGGATACCGTATTGTGATTGTGGTTATGGTTTGAAAAATTTTATGTTAAATTCTAGGACCTGATTACATTTTTATAAATTTAAAAAGAATTTCATTCTAATGCTTCAGGACCTGTTTCTATAGATCTATGCTTTTATTTACATATAAGTCTTATTTTAGTATTTATTATTATGTCCTATTGATAATTAACATTCTTTGTTAGTTTACCATCAATAATCAGTGATAATTTATAAAATGTAAGTGATAGATATTCATGAAATAGGATGATGATCTATGATGATGACTGTGGCACCGAGGAGGCTTCCACTAGAATTATGGTGGGCCTATGTATTATCTCAAAAACACTTAATTTTAGGGCTATGAAGTGCTGGCTGGGATGTTTTGTATGAACATCACTACCAGGACTTGATTTCTACGTTGAAACGCTTAAAATCCGAGTGTTTATCTCTCAATCCAGCTATTTACAACTATTGAAGTTGTACTCATATTTTTCAATAACTTTTAATGATTTTATTTATAAGTTGTGGTATAAATTTAAATGCTTTATTATGAAATTTCTTTTCTTTTGACATATCATATTGTAAAAATTTATTCCTCACTAGAGTTGGAAAAGGCCTTTATAATAAACCATTGCACATGTAATAGATAATTTTTTTTTTTTTATTGCTTTCATGTGTAGAAAAATTGACATGAAACAATTTTCTGTTAGATTTTATCATTTTTGAAAATTTTCATTTAACTGTTTTACGTGTGTAGATAAATCCACATGTATGTATCTATTGAATCTTTTTGGATATAATCTGTTTGTTTATGTTTTAAAGCGTAAAACGCCTGTGTCTCATTTATTAAGGGTATAGTCTATATTCTGATTTCTGAGGAATATTCTTAAGATCAAAGTGATAATATTAAAATGGTTATTCTCTCAGTTTGGCTAGACTCTCTTGGGAAATATCTGATCCACTATGTCTGAAACCTCTATTATCTATTATATTTTTTTAACATATGTATTTCATTGAGATTAAAGCACTAGGAATCAAAATGTCTTCCCCCTTACCTTTCCATGGGTACTGGCTATAATTAGGAAAATTACTGGAAGTTATCAAAATTACTGGGAAGTAAGATAAATTAAATAATGCATAATGCCTTTATTTTGTAGTTGAGTGATTATTGTTGTACTATTTTCACTTAATCCTCTTCATAATTTTTTGTTGGTTTTCATCAATTTTTTCAAATTTGTTTTTTCATCTACTGATTGAAAAAAACTGTTACTACTTGCTTGACAGATGGTTATTATACTTATAGTAAAATTTAAAAAAAAATTATGTTTACCTTTTACATGTTATGAAAAGATATTAGTAATATTTGTAATGAATTCTGGTCTTGGTAATTTTATTTGAAATATTTCTATATATTAGGATATAACTTTATACAATTGTTAAATAATTATTTTGTTTTTAATTTTTTGTGCTTAATAAATTAATGGATTACAGGTTTTTATCTATCGTCTCTTTTGGAAAAGTAATGATACACCTAGACGTATAAGGATGGATGATATTAAAAAGGCTTTTCCATCTCATTCGGAAAGTAGCATTAGAAAAAGGCTGAAATTATGTGCTGATTTCAAAAGAACAGGTATTGAAGATGCCTTGAGTACTTATCCTATCCTCACCCTTCCTCGATATCCTAACCAGAAACGTAAATCCTGTAATTTCCATTCGTTTATTTCATTTTATACAGATCCTCTAAATTATATTTTCTTTACCCATTTTAATTAAATATAATTATGTTTAAGGTATGGATTCAAACTGGTGGGTTATAAAGCCAGATTTCAGATTACCAACGGAAGAGGAAATCCGTGCCATGGTTTCGCCTGAACAGTGCTGTGCTTATTTCAGTATGATATCTGCCGAGCAGAGGCTCAAGGTATATATTTGGTTTTATTAATGCTTAGAGGAAAAATATATATTAAAAAAAAATTGTATTTACTAGTTTTTCAGTATTAAATTATGAATCATCAAATATATTAAAGTTATTTTATTCATATTCGTGAAAGAAAAATAAAGAAAACGAGCTGGGCATGTGTGTATTGTTTACTTTTACTTCTCCATAGGAACCTCCATATTTATTTTTGTAATATATAGTACATTAAGTTTGTTTACTTTATAATCAGCGACATATGGTTTTGATATACTTTTGATGGATTGTTGTTATTATTAAGAGCCTTATTGAATATATGTGTTTAACTTTAATCATGAATTATTTAAAATATAATAACTTTTATCCACGATTCCACTATTGGATTGTAAAGGTTAGTTAAATATTTTTTTTCTGTTGACATTACAGACCTTATAGATGTTTTGTTCCCTTATCCAGCTTTCTCCACCTCTGCCTTTATTGGACTGTCTTCTGCATGCAACTCTATTACATTTTTGTTGATACAATTTATCTTTCTTGTGCCATCCACATGGCCTCTTGCTTAGTATTGAGGCATTCATATTGTTGAGTTAAAAACATTTAGCGAATTAAATTTTTGATAACATTCTATCCAATATATTAAAAGCATACACCGAATTAACAAGATTATAAAGTATATAGTAAACAAAATTTATAAATTATATAATATACCACTTTTCAAGTTGTTAGAATGATAAACTCAATAATTAATTATTAAATAAACTTAATAATTTATTATTAAGTAATAATAGAAAAATAGCACACAACCATTCTTAGAAACCCACATATTATTTAAAATCTTTAAGTTACTAATTGACATCATCACAATTTTTTAAAAAAATTATGAATTTTTTTGTCAGCGGAATCAGGGATGTTAGTGTACAAGGTTAAATATTCTTACTTTTGATCATGTGTAGCTGATTTTTAATTTGATTAGAATTTGATTTGTTATTAGAGTAGAATTTTTTGTTTTATTTCGGAGATTTTTCATATATAATTTTTTCATGAAGATATTTATTCAAACAGTTACGCTATTTTTCTTAGTTGCACTGTATATTCATTATATAGTGAATATACTAGGTTTTTAGTGCCACTTTATAAAATCCTGCTGATTTTTATTTGTAGCTGTGCTGTTGAGATGTTATATCTTCATTATAATAATAAAAGGCTTAGCAAACGCGAAAGTTTGATGCCGAAACTACCAATTGCTATATCTTCACTTGTAGAAAATACCATATTTTAATTTGATGCTATAATTCGGTCACAAGCTTGTCTTTCTCAGCCATCTTTCTCTAGACATGTCAATAGATGGTAGTCGCCATTCAGTCTTTGATGTTGAGCATCATTTACCATTCCGTCATTCCGAGCCAATTGTAACCTTTTCCACATCAAATTTAACTTTTTCCATTTCAAATGTAACACTTTCCAAATCAAATGTAACCCTTTTCAATTCAAATTGTAATCCTTTCCAAACCAATGTAACCTTTTTTTGTGTGAATTAATTTGCAAAAGGTTACACTTGATTTGGAAAGGATTGCGTATGAATTGGAAAAGGTAACATTTGATTTGTAATGGAAAAAGTTACATTTGAAGAGGAAATGGTTACAATTGGCTTGGAAATGCTATATCATTAGTCCTTAATTGTTTCGGCCTTCCTCTCCTTCTTCATCTGAAGACATGCTCTGTGAGAATCATTGGTATTGTTCTAATTATTTGAGGCTTATAATTTTTTTTAAATATTTATTTAATAACGCCGAAATTTCAATTTGTAGCTATTTGCAGAGATACACTGCTGCCTTAATTTTTTGCTTCTTTGAACATTGTGACTTAAAGTGTGTCATGAAGAAGCTAGTTAACAAAAAACAATAATAATAATATTCACTGATCGTCCATCATTAGCAAAAAAATATATATAGTAATAATAAGGGAATATCGCTATGGAACATTTTCAAGTTCTTTAACGTGTTTTGTGTTGCTTTATTGTTTGATATAGGTGATCAATGAGTTTTATGTTTTTTTTTTGTAGGATGCAGGTTATGGAGAAAAGTTTATTTTCACCCAGCAAGATGACGATGATGAAGATTTGCAGTTAAAGATGGATGATGAAGTAAAAGTTGCGCCTTGGAATACTACTAGAGCTTATATTCAAGCCATGAAAGGCAAATGCCTCCTGCAGCTAACAGGACCCGCTGATCCTACAGGCTGTGGTGAAGGTTTTTCTTATGTCAGGATGCCCAATAAACCAGCTGTAAGATATTTTTAACATTCATTATTTAAATTTCCTGAAGTAATCGAATTCTATTTTCACAAAAAAAAAATTTAATTTACCCTTAAAATTCCTTTTTTTCTTTTGAATTGAAATTGTTTGCTACTTATAATTATCTTGTTGTTGTAAACTATTACTTCATTTTTAACTTTCTTTCATTTAATTCTAGCTTAGTAAAGAGGAACAGGAAGCCCAACCAAAAAGGACTGTTACTGGAACAGATGCCGATCTTAGGAGGCTTTCTCTGAACAATGCTAAAGCTCTACTGAGGAAGTTCGGTGTGCCAGAAGAAGAGGTATTTCTTAATTTTTTTTTTATTTACTTGTTATATTTTTCTTCATTAAAATTTCAGTTTGTTTTGGAGTGTTGAATTATATAAAAAGAAGTTTATATTCCTTAATAATAATGATGGAACTTGATTAAAATAGATTTATGAAGAAAGTTTGTATAAGTATGTATGTGTATGTGCAGTAAAACTTCTTAATAGGGTAGACTTACGAGGAATCAAAATTTTGTTATCTTTAATGAGATTGGAAGTAAAACATGTTAAAAAAATAAATAAAATAAATTAGCAAACTAAAATTATATTTATAAGTCATATATCGTGAAAATAAAATTGTTTATTCATTTAAAAACATTTTAATTTTTAGTTTTATAATTTTAATATTTTTTTATGAGAAATAATATACTAAACTCTTATAGATTTAAAAAAAAAAATTGAAATTTTGAAAATTCCAGAATTGTCATCCGTTATTTTTGTTTGAACTTTTTGGTGTATAACCATTTAATTTTACGAATTAATTAGGACAGATAAATTCAGTATGACTCTTTCACTATCTTCCTTCAAAATTTAAAAAAAAAAAATTTCTCAGTCTAATAATAATCCATCGAAAATCGGAAGACCCAGAGATCACGAATATGTCTTGTCAGCTCATAGGTGTAGCGTGAGTATGATTGTTTGAAATCTTAATGTTAATGCTGGACGGTTAAGGCAAGAGCTTGTAAAATCATTCACATGTTACTTAATCTAGGGCAAAACCTGAAGTTTTAGAAATTATTTTTTTACATTAACATTTATATGTATCTATTCTTTTTTCTGTTAAATGTCGCAATCCAAATTTCAGTTTTCCAATTTTTAACTGAGCGGCTAAATTGCAAATACTAATTTTTTCACATACACGCATTAATAATAACATCAATATTTTATTTGAAATTTAACCAGGCATGTTATAATGAAATGCCTATAATTAACAACAAAAGATTAAGACTCTAATATCTATATTAAAACCGAATTCCTAATATTCATATAATTGAACTAAGCTCCTATAAATTAGATTATTGTCCTCAGAATATGAACCTTACTCCCTGCTGTCAATTATTGAGAAATGTTTCTAACAAAATCTTTGTTATAGAGAGTGTCCATTATGCAGAAGTCATTTATAAAGTAAAATTATTGAAATAAGATGAACTTTATGAAAACGTCCGCTATAGAGAAATGTTCGTTTAGGAAAGTGTCGGAAAATCTAAGTTTCACTGTATAAGTATATAATTTAATAATTTATATTGTTATCAAGGATTTGCCAATTTGGTGAAATAGTTTTATGGGACAAATTTTGGAAAAAAAATGGGTGATAAACAGTCAGAAGGGAGTCATTTTTAAGGTTTTTATTGGTGCCTATGTTTCAACCAAAGCATCTAGGTCATCTTCAGGGCTTTTCGAGCTCTGAAATACTGAGTATTTGAACACCTTCAGTGCTCGAAACATGCCCTGATGATGACCCAACCACATGCTTGGGTTGAAATGTGGCCACCAATAAAAACCTTAAAAATTACTGTCCTGAATCACCCGTGATATGTAGAACAGTCGACTAACTTCCTTCAATTTTGGAAAAAAAGATATATATACAATTTAGAATGCTTATGTTATCCTTTCTGAGTGAAAATAAATTTCACTAGTATTCAACTTGAATTACGAAAAAAAATATATACAATTCGAAAATATTCTAGAAAACTGAGAATGAGTCTTTATTTGCTAATGACTCTTGAGTACTTGAGCATTTGTAAAAGGAAATTATTCTTTAATGTTTTAATTTTTAATATTTTATTACGAACTGGTTTAACTTATTTAATTGAATCAAAGTTGTTATGAATTAAAACTTTCCTGTAGAATTAGAATCACTCTCATAAAAAAATTCAAGCATTTAAACCTGATAGTCATAATTTAATTGGAACAGTTCAAATGTAGTTTAGAATCAGCGAGTAATAATATGGTAGGAGTCAAGTTATAACACTGTTTTTCTCTCAGTTTTAAATGTCTCTTTGTGTACTGTTATAATTATTATTTTTATTGTGAAAATAATTTGTAATCCAGAATTTCAGAATAATAAGAAAATGATTCCTTTTTTAAACAGATAAAGAAATTGTCCCGTTGGGAAGTTATTGATGTTGTACGTACTTTATCTACTGAAAAAGCTAAGGCTGGAGAAGAGGGAATGACTAAGTTCTCTCGTGGTAACAGGTTCTCTATCGCTGAGCATCAAGAAAGGTTTGTTATTTTCATATAAAATTAGTATCTCTATGTATAAATTATTTTTTTCTATTATCTTTGGAATGGCATGAAAGGCTTTATCTCCTATCTCATTCAACTCCCCAATGCCAACTAGTCAACCATCGTATATTATCTGGTTGTTATCATCCACTTAGTAATACTAAGGTACTTAGTTTTATCTTTTATGATAGTCCTTTATCTATTTCTGAATCATAGAAGCTCTGATTTTCTTTCTTTACTTTGTGTTCGTTTTCAATTCTGGTTTAGTTTCAAAACTAAGTTGCTTTTCTTTGAGGACCCTATCATTTCATACATTTTCCCATGTTTTTTTTCCCTTTCTCAGCCCAAGACTTCCATTTAAGTCCTATACTGCCCCTATTGTTATATTATGAAATAATGAAGGTATGGATTTAAATTATTTTATTTTTTTAAAAGTCTATTTTAGATTCTTATATAAATCTGCACAATGACTGAATGATATCTCTATCTAGATCTGCCAACCCTTGGAGGAAAACGCTTTTATTTTGGATGAGTGATATTTATTTCGGAATTTGTCATAGTTGCTACATTTTAGTTTAATGTGTAGAGTGTTTTCGATTGAATTGCATTTTGAGCATTTATCATTTTTATTAACTGTAACTAGTGTCAAGTGTAACTAGTTTCCACGACCGTTGTTTATTCTCAATCTTGTAAGTATAGCTATTTCTTTTCTGATGAACATAATACGTAGAGGCGTCCCACAAGGTTCTTCCTTACCTTTCACCCTTTTCTCCATATATATGAATGATCTCCCATCCTCTGTAAATAACCAAATAAAGTTAAATGTTAATAATTTTTTTTTGGCAGGAATAGCGAATAGCCTTCCGCTTTTTATCGGGGAACTAGGTTATTTACACTCGTGATTATTAAAACAAAACCCCGGCTCTGGATATAGACTTTTTGAGGGTTTTTAACTGTTGTTGGGAATTCGGGAACCGAATACCTTTTGTGACACTGAATGAGAAGAAACAATAAGAATACATATATGAAATGTGAGACTTAGTAAACACACTTTGAATGAATTGACTCACCTTGTTTATTATTCTTCAATTGTGAGGCCTATAGGACAACTGAATAAAAGGACTATTCACTCCTGTCTAATAAAATAATTTATTTTAACAACTGTAATAAATTAATGTATAAAAGTCTTATAACTGCAGGCTTGATATTCTTAGTCTTCAATGTAGTAAGCCTCTCTTCCCAGATGACATCTTCTCGTCTTCGTGTCCAGCCCTCAAGTGCTCTTCTTGGCGTCCTTCTGCCAGCTGTTGCTAGCTACCTGCTCTGTCCTTCTTCATCGATTGTTTATTGATATGAGACTTTTGTCCACTGCATAATTGAGTACAATTCACAGTGCCACCTCACATTCCTATGTGTTATATATTCCTTCTCATTCCCTCACACAATGTCACCTAAAGGAGTAGGAGAGGGATATCTACTACACCTCTATCCTGCACTGTCAATACCACCTGTATGCCGACGACATTCAAATTTACCTCTCTTTTAATCTGACCGATTCCTCAGATGACATTCTAAAACTCCAAGAAGATATTAATAGAATAAGTGCTTGTGCAAACCTCAACAGGCTCACTCTGAAAATTATTCTTGATGTTGAAATCCATTGTTTTCAACTATTTTCACACATCTTTCTGCCAGTACTGGATTCGATGCTGGTACCATTCCATTGGTTTCGAAGCCAAGATCTCTTTAGAATAGAATAGAATTGAAAATAAATTTATTCTGGTATGAAGTTCTGTAGAATATTACAGAAAAAAAAGAATAATTTTTACATCTTCATAGTTATCAAAGATCCTACCATATAAAAAAAAATAAGCAATGCTATAAACAAACCATAATCTGATGGTGCAATAACTAGACTATATACAGGATGAGGCAAAAAGTCTACTGAAAAAACTCCAGAATCTCTAGTCATCCTTCAGATTTTGAAGCTAAATTTTGCAAATATCAACTTGCTGCTGGGCTTGGGCCTCTGTCAAGTCATGTTGGTCGGACGTTGTCTTATATCCCGTACTTCCAGGTTTTTAAGATGACAACCCACTGTGGCATTAGAAGCTCCTACTATGGCTAATAAATTACATATGGTTCCTGGTTCAAACATTCAAAAAGATGTCATCATAATTGACCGATGGGTGACCTGATCTGGTTTCTATCTGCAAGGCTTATATTCCCATTGTTAAAATGCCTGAACCAAAGTGCGGCAGTATTTGAATAGATAACTGATTCTTCTTTTATGACAAAAATTTGTTCAGCAACTGCCTTTGCGCTTAGACTCTTTTTAGAGTAATGTCTCAAAAGCCTACTCAAATCACAAGGAATTACAGGATTAGTCAAAGTAAACATTGACATAAATATTAGGAACAAAAATATTCTTAAAGGATTAATTATTAGAGTTGAAATTAAGATTCATGTTTATGCACAAGCACTTTTGTAATAACATAGTATTTGCCAAATCATCCAATAGCATCATTTTGCCTAAATATCTGTGTGTTATTGATATTAACTTTTATGTTTTCTCAATCATTGCTACATTCACTTATATATTTTTTTCAAATGAGAGTCTGAATCTGAATCAGTCAATGAGAGTCTGGTTTGAATCTGCTCTGAACGATATTTTGTGGAGAGTTCATGATATCGATCTCAAATTTTCCACTTCAGCTGAATTAAGTTGCAAGCCTATGAAATGAAAAAAATATTTTATTCTGGGACTACAGTCCCCTAAGAATAACAGAGTTACAAATTTATGGGCCTTAATCTGGCTTAGAATAATAAAAAATAGAAACTAATTAACTACTGATTTTCATTGCATTTGTGCAGTAGATTGAAATTAAACAGTGTACAGATGCAAGTAATTTTATATGTTAGGTGAAGTTTGAATGTGAAGTAGGTGTTGGAAGAGGATTTTGTGGACGAGGATTGACTTATGGAGGTAGGAAGAGAGTTCCTAAAGGAGGTAGCACGAATGACGAAGGATTTGCTGGAGGAAGTAGTTTTATGGGAGGGGATATATAAATCTATAGGTTGAGACCTGGTATTAAGAGAATGGATAAAGGAACGTAGAGTAAGGAGTTCCAGAATGTAGGGAGGGTTTTTGGTTCTGATAACTTGGAAAAAGAAAACACCAAGGAGGAATTTTCGTCGGGAAGTAGGACAAAGCCACTTCAACTCGGTGTACCAGAACGAAACATGTGAACGCCTGAGAATCATGAAGATATTCTATAGGGGATCCCTATAGCGTAATTCTTCCTTCGTACCAAAATTAAAATAGAAGAATATATTAAAAACAAATAAATATCTTCCTAATTATGTCTTCATTATGCTATAAATGCTGAGGTAGGGGAAAATTTTTTTTTTTCATAAAATTAAAATCTATGTTCATTTGATAAATGTTCCTCGTTTTTGGTTCACAGTCCATTTATAATTCTGGTTTTGCATGAGGAGAGAGCTTGGTAGGGTTTCATAATTTTGTGTTTTTAAGCTTCCCATCTTTTCAGATCTAAATACGATATTTGTTATAATAATTGAAATACCTTCTTTGTACGAATGATTCATGGTTAAAGTCTGTTATTTGAATTAATGTTTATTGGTTTTTTTTTTAAACATTTATTGGTATCAAATTTTTCTATTTAGTATTATGATATTGATAAAATCATCTATACTATTTTATACTGTTGTGTTAGTATTAAGTTCTGCTCAATTATGAAAATACTTAACTAATTATTAATACAGGTATAAGGAAGAATGCCAAAGGATTTTTGACCTTCAGAATAGGGTACTATCGTCTTGTGAAGTACTTTCAACTGATGAGGGAGAGAGTTCCGATGAAGACAGTTCTGATATTGAGGAAATGGGCAAAAATATTGAGAACATGTTGGCCAATAAAAAGACTAGTACACAGGTATGTATTGTTGCTAACTTTTTTTGAAATAGAAATAAATAAATCACAAATTTATTGACAGTGTGAAGGAACAAAAAAAATTAGAAGCTCTAAAATTGACTTAAAACTTTTTAATTATAGAAAAAAAATTTATTACTCATTTTAACAAGTTATTTTAATTTTAAAGATATATATATTTAATTAGTTTATGAAAATGACCCAATCATAATTAGAGCTAATATTAAAAGGATATTAGTGGGTTGATGGTTGATTGTATTGTATTGTTGTGAATAATGAAGAGAAAATGGTTGGGGTGATCAGTCAAAATAAAAATGGCAAAAAATAAATAATAATATTTATTTTAACATTTGCCGACGTTTCGACCCGAAGTTCAGGCCTTCATCAGGGCTGATAAAAGAACCAGATAACAATAGGTATGAGAAACATAAACAATGTAGGTAAAAAAAAAAAAAATTAAAATGAAGTAGATAAGTGAACATTAAAGTAAAATAAAGCAGGTAGAATAATGACAATAACAAAAACTTAGAAATAAATAATAATAACGGTTACAAGGTGTGGACTAATGAAGTAAATATAATTAAAATAGGGTAACATAAGAACTAAAATGGTAATCTTAGAATAAAATGTAAAACAGAGAAAAGGAATATGAAGTTATATTAGAAATAAATAGAAATAGAAAAATTGAGATATTGTAAAGTCTACCAAATGTACTGACTACATATAAGAGAATTAAGAGTTAAAATAAAGTAAAAAATAAATGAACAAATGTATCAATATATACAAAGTGGAGATGGAGATATGGAAAATAGAATGACAGGAAGGAGGAAATAAGGAGAAAGCTAAGAAAAGATAGACAACTAACGTGATCGAAGAGATCGCTTGAATAGAATAGAGGAGGTATGGTAGCAAGAGGAGAAGGGGGGGGGAGTTGTATTGTTACGTCATCTCTGACGGTTGACTGAAAAAGTTTTCAACTAAAGTATGTTAAACTAATTGAACTAAAGTAAATTGATATTAAACAAATATAAATGACATTTGCACGTAGGCTGTATAATTACAATGGTAGGGCTGTTGATATCGGTTAATTTCAAAGGTAACGGAGTATAAATGCAGATCTGCCTCTTGGGAAAATACTTGATCAAAATTTCAGCCAACAATAAAATTTTAAAAAGCAATCCTCAACTTGAGTGCAAAATGTACAATACAATGGAAAAAGAGACACTTCATCATTTAATATTTAAATGCCCAATATATAATAATTTGAGGGTAAGAACCTACCAGGTTACAAGAATTTTTAATAAATGTTATTTTTAAGACATCCTTAAGATTTTTGTAATATTTATAATTTAGCATAAAAAGAAAAAAAATTGTAATACAATAAGGGTAATAATGTTTATAATACAGAGATAGACTCTATTCATTTGGAGTTCTTTCCTTAAAATAAATAATGACTAAATAAATAAAATAAATATATTTAATTAATTATATTTAATTTTTACATGGTTATTTATTAGCAGTAATTATTATTTTATAGGCTTCTAAGTAACTTTTGTTGTAATTTTTAGTTAACACTTGAAAAAGAAGAACAGGAAAGGCATGAGCTTAGGAAGATGTTGCTAGGTGAAAATAGCGAACAAGATCCTCGAAAGAAAGATAAGAAAAAGGAAGAAGAAGAAAGTTTTTCCTCTAGCAATGTGATTAATCAGCCTGGTGAGTGCCCTTTTAATATTTCATGAGAAGGACTTGGTCGGTGGTGCGGTCAAATAAATACTAAATTTTAAAAAGTAGTATTTTAAATTATTACGCCTACGTTTCGACCCACCTTGCAGGTCTTCATCAGGGCGTGGCATGTGGCACTGCAGGAGGCAGTTGATAGACTGGCCTTTTAATATTTTACCTTAGAGAACAACATTGAATGTTTATATTACGGGGATGTCCCGTAAGTAGACGGAAATTTTTATAGGAGTGATAGTAGACCTCGAGAGCTACAAATAAGTTTATATAAACAATGGGCAAATTTTCAGCTGAAAAGTATAAAATCCAAGTTTTGTGTTTTTTAAAGAAAGTTATGTTTTTTTGTTGATTAGGAAGTGATAACAAAAGAAATATTTAATTTAAGTAATTTAAAATTGCTTTACTGTAAACTAGACAAAATTTACTTCAAATGAATATTGAGTTTGTCATTTTCAAAAGCATTTAAAGAGGACTTTTGAGCAGCTAAGATTTGTTTTTTATAGTATCATAAATAATTTGCAGTTTTTTTTATCATTATCCAACTATATTACAGGTATCCCAATTTTAGAAAAAACTTAGTTTACTAAGCTTTAAGTTCATAATTATTCAGTTGAGGTTTATTAGGAAAAAAAACTGAGAATCACCTTATGTTGTGTAAAAAAATGATATGATTTTTTATCCTGTTCCCTAAAAGTACCATTGTTTTCAGTAAAAATGACTACAATTAATTGTTCCGAAGCTTTTATTCCTTGTTTTTCCATGGTCTAGGATGTATCATAGTGAATGTAATTACCTAAATATACTTTTTATTTATATATTTTTTTTCTAAATAAAGATTCTCAAATATTTTTCATGCAAAGTCGTTATGAAACTTCACCATGATCTTTATTACATGAATTGATTCATATTTGTAAGTGATAAAATAAATGTTTATAGTCCTAAAATTTAGGTTTAAAATAAAGAAACCTGCTAAAACCTAAATGACATTAAAGATTACATAATTATACATTGATACACCGAGTTTAATCAAAATCTTTAGAGCTGTATTTGAAAATTCGTCAAAATATGTAAAATCAATAATATAAAGTTTCACTTCCGGTTTGCCAATTTTGAGAAAAAAGTTGCTCTTACATCCCAGGCCTATAAAAACCTTAAATATGCAATTTCAGTTTTGTATGACATTTTGTTTTTTTTTGAGCTAGACTGTTCACATACATACACCCACACACAGACTATTTTGTGATACTTGGTTATTTGGATTCAGGGGACCTCAAAACGTGTATTTTTGTTATAAACTCAGATTAAAAAATTTTCACAACTGCAATACTTTCCCTTACTATATATTTCATATATAGTATATAGGAGAGGGCGGGATGGCCGAATGGGCTAAAGCGTGTGCACAGCACCGCGAGTTGCCTGGCAACCGGATAAACAGATTTGAGAAGATTAAAAAAGTATGAGTTCGCGTCCCGGTGCCGGAGGGGATTTTAAATTCCCCGGCCCGGGAAAATCCCGTAAAAAATATAGCCTAAAAGGCGAGATAGGGAAGAAAAATAAATAAATATATATAGTATATAGATAAGTGAAAGTAAAAAACACAAAACTGGAATTTCTTATTTTTCTTTCGAGGATCTTGTTCGCTATTTTAATTCTTATGAAGAAAAAAAATAAAAATAAAAAAAATAAATATATATATAGTATATAGATAAGTGAAAGTAAAAAACACAAAACTGGAATTTCTTATTTTTCTGCTGAAAATTGGCTCATTGTTTATATGAAATTTTTTGTAACTCTTGATGTCTACTATCAATCCTATAAAAATTTCCCTCTATTAGGGAACGCCCTGTATATCTCTTTTGGATGACGTAAATTTTTTTATTATTATTTGGTTATAGCATAATGTTATTGAAGTTCTTATCTTATCAAAGTAGTTAATTTAGGATGTTTTCTTGTTTCCAGGTCGTGTTTTGAAAATTTATAGAACATTTAGAGATTCGGAAGGGAAAGAATACACTCGGTCAGAGGTCGTTAGAAAGCCTGCGGTTATCGATATGTATTTGAAGATTAGGAACACAAAGGACGAAGCATTTATTAGGCACTACGCAACTATGGATGACCAGCTGAAGGAAGAGATGAAACGGGAAAAGAGAAGGCTCCAAGAGCAGCTGAGGAGGCTTAAGAGAAATCAAGAACGGGAAAGGATCACTGGTTCCAGTAGTGGATTATTCAACAAAACTCAATCACGTAAGTATTTTATTTAAAAGCAGATTTTTTAAATTATTTAATTCCGATATTGCTTAAGCATAGTTGTTTTTGAATGTCTGTAGAAAAAGAATAAATTAGCTTGATTAATTTTACAAAATAAGGCTCTTTCGGAATTTAAAACTTTAGTGTCGATTGCTGGTTCCTAATCAGCACCTTAACCTCCTAGTTCCTAATCTTAACTTCTAGTCACGCTTAGTTCTTGGCTCGTTCAACTATCGATCAGTTTCGGAATAAGATATTGTTAGCTTTTGTTTAAAACTAATTGAGGTAGTTTTTTTTTTATAGTAGTTGCTACCTAGCTGAATTTAGGTTATTGTCTTTTTATCAAGTTTTATTACATATAGTCTGCGATACAGACCCCCATTTTATCTTATTATTAACATATCTAAAACTTTGTGAATGGCTTCATCTTATTTTAATCTACAACTTTTTTATTTATGAAAATTCTCAGAAATGGAGTGTTTTCTTATCATGCATTTGATATATACATTTAAGTTGTAAGATCATAAAATTGAGAAAAAAAGTGGTCTACAAATTTATTGGACTGTTAGACCTATATGACCTCGTTATTTTGACATTAGGGGTGGAGGTCACACCAAATGGTCCAATATTTTTGTAGGCCACCTTTTTCTCGATTCAGTGATCAAATTATCTTACGATTAAAGTGGAAAACAAATATGTATTCATGAGTTATTAGTACCTAATTAAATAGACTAACATTAACAATCTCCAGATTGAAAACACATCATTTCCGATAATATTGGTATATGAAAAAGTTGTAGGTTATGATAAGAAGAAACCAATCACGAATTTTTAGATGGATGTCAATAATTTGATAAAAAGGCGTCTGCACCACGGACTATTAATGTTATACAAAATTATTAATTTATACATGTTGAATTAAAGCATAGAAATATTTAGACAATTCATCTGTAATAAGCATATTTTGAACCACCCCTTTGGGTTCAAGGTCTTAAGAATTACAGCATTGTGTTAAATAGATGTGAAAAATCTTGATTTTAATTAATACTTCCTGTTTACATTTGAAAGTTAAAAATTAAGTAGTGAAACTAGTTGCTTCCATTGGATGAAAAATACTTCCTAATTTATTTTTATCATTTTACAGCTTTCTCTTTGTTGTCTACTCAAACTCTTGAAGGAGGTGAAACCAGAGATGGCTCACAATCTCCGACACCCAAGTCTGGGTTCGTTAAGAATCGTCTACCGCCTCTTACTAACCCTACGACTCCTCCCACTCCCAGAAGGAGGAAACCGAGTAAAATGAAACCCGATGTTAAATTGAAATGCGGAGCTTGTGGTCAGGTAAATTAATTTAAATCTTTTATTATATCATCTACGATTACAGAATGAAATATACCTTCTCTATTGTGTTTTGTGTTTTTAATCTTCTGGAAGATTTCAAAGGAATGGAACATTCAGTTAGTATAAATGATCAGAACATTGATTTAGATGCTCTAATGTGGTTTAATTGGGTATTTGTCGGGTGAATGCTTTGTAATGTTATCAGCCTCATGTATTCTGGTACATTGAATTAACCCTTTCATGACAGTGGACCCATATATGAGTGGAGACGAAATTGGGTACAAGTGAAGGTGGACTCATATATGAGTTGAGAGCCTGTCAGACTCTTTCTCGTTAAACAACAGAGTGACAATGATCAATTCTACTGTCAAACTATTTCATGGCCTTCCCACGAGGCAGTAGGTAATTTTTCTATGGCAAGTTTTTTGACAATTTTTTTTTTTAAAGAATACCTTAAATAAAAAGTAAGTAGTCCGTAGAGTTGATGAAATTTCCTCAAAGACACACCACCCTTCTCACTCATTGTTGCTAAAAGGTTAATATGGGTTGTAGACTTCTTTTGTATTAGAAAATCAATCATTTATTATACAAAATACTATTTATGAGCATTCTCTACTGCAGAAATTCTTAAATCCTAAATTACAATTTATTTTACTGCTCAAATTTATTAAAGGCTATAAATTAATTTTATTTGTTTAAATAATTTTTAAAAAATCAATCACACTTCCTCGGTATGTAATACGTGATTCTGGGTTATATTTCTGTATAAATTCAAATATTTTTTATGAGTCCTTTTTTTTTTTTAATGGTTTATTGTTCTTCTCTTATAGTAAGTTGCCACATTTATCTATTATGACAGATAAATTTTAAATTTTTATGTTGCCTTGGGTTATTTTTTTATATTGATTCTATTGATCACAGGTATTTAAACTTCTTCTCAGTTTCAAAAGTATTCACTCGCATATTTATGTTACTTAAAGTATTAATTGTTATTATATTAAATTTATATTTTGTTTTATCAGTATTTATTTTGAAACCTAATTCAATCCCAGTAGCCACTGTATTGAATCTAATAGTCTCTGTTTATTTAAGGTTGGCCATATGAGGACAAACAAAGCATGCCCAATGTATTCAGGTACGGATAAACCACTTCCTTCAATGAGCGTCGCTCTTACGGAAGAACAGGAGGAAGAGTTTGAAAAACAATTAAATACGGAAGATGAAGATTTAGTAAATGTTGAAGGGACCAAAGTCAAACTATCATCTAAACTTCTTAAGGTATTCTTTAATAAATTCTTTCTATAGTATTGATTTTTCAAAGTAGCAATTCTATAGTATAGTTGTTTAATATTTAAACAATCAGATGTTCAAATTTAAGCATGCGGAGGAAATCAAGAGAAGAGCACTCTTATTGAAAGTTCCTAAAGAAGCTATGAATGCCCGTAAGAAGCGTAAGTCATCCGATGTGCACTGTGATTACCTGAAGAGGCAGCAGCGACCGGCGAATCGCAGGAGGACCGATCCAGTTGTTGTCCTTTCGACCACCTTAGAGTCTATTCTCAACGAAATGAGAGATCTGCCCGACGTTCAACCCTTCCTCTTCCCTGTCAATGCAAAGGTAACGATTTTATTTTATATTGTCAAGTTTGCTAATCATTATTTCATTTTAATTAATTGACTCCTCTTCAAATATTTGATAATGGTACGATTATTTGCTGAAGTATGATAACTTTTTCTTGCAACTTTACAGAGTTGTTTTGATACGATAAATATTTTAGAATAGAGTGCATAGTTTCCAATGATTCTTTTGTGGTAAATTAACTATTTCAAATGTTATAATTTTATTGTTTTTTTAAAGGTTGTTCCAGATTATTATAAAATAATCCAGAGACCAATGGATTTGCAAACGATTAGGGATAATCTTCGTCAGAAGAAATATCAGAGCAGGGAAGAATTTTTGGCCGATGTTAATCAGATTGTCGAGAATTCTACTCTTTATAATGGTAAGCGAGCATATTTTAGTTTGTATTAATTTCCCTTAAAGCAAATATCATAACCTTAAATTTCATCATTTTTTCTGTTCTCTCAAAAGTTTGTAGCTTCTTATATTTATTTTTTTGCCATGGTCCAGGTCTGTGATCTGTACTCTAGCAAAGGGCAGATTAACATTTTATTTAAAGTTATTTTGTCTGCCTTAAAATTATGTTACTTGATACTATATTAATATAAGTAAATTAAATTAATAAGTTATATTAATTATATAAAAAATTATAATGATGTAGAGATGGTTGACCGTTGATATAATATGAGAAGGAGTTAGTCGAGGGGGCGGTCAAATAAATAAAAAATTAAAATAATTAATATATTTTAATTTTTTATTTATTTGACCGCACCCTCGACTAACTCCTTCTCATATTATGAAAAATTAAATTATATTAATTATGAGATTTCTCGTTTTTAGTAACATTTATTGGCTATTCAGCTTCTTTTAATCTCAGCCACTTTCCTATTGTCATATATTACCTGCGATCCCAAGTAGATAAACTTGGAGGCTTGATCAGGCATCAAAATGAAACTTCTGCCGCTGTCTCACCTGGTTGTCTCTTTGGTTTTGTCCTTATTAATGGTAAAATCCAATTTTTTTTTTTTTTTGCTGTAACTTCACGGCCATGAATGATTGAAAGAGTGGCCTATAATGCCACTATCGGCTGCGAAGCTGAGGATTTGGACTTTTTTGTTGAAGATGATAACAGTGGTTTGAATACCAGAATCTCATAGCTTTTTTTTTTTGAGGTTAAAGATTAAGTATGCAAAGTCATTGCCCTGCCCGACAAATCTTTTCTAAACATTTCTGACATATATCCCAAATTTGAACCTTACAATCTACTTCAAAACAGAGTGATTCCCTCTCATCTGTCCTGTTTCATTTAGCATTAGAACATGCCATTAGAGAGATACTGTGTACCGAAAAAGGTTTGAATCTGGGTGGAACTATAACTGTGCTTGGTTCTGCAAATAATTTGGTCGTCTAAAAACGAAGGCATGGGCACTATAAAACTAAATTTGAATACATTAATGAAAGCCGGTGAAGAGCTAAGGCTCAAAATAAATATAGATAAGACAAAATATATGGTTAGCTACAAAAACGGAAAAAATTTTGGTGATATTGATATAAAAGGGAATATGTGTGAACATGTAGAGAAATATTCTAGGGTGTATGAAAAAAAAAAATGTAAATGTAAATTATCTAGGGTGTATGAAAAAAAAAATTAAAAAAAGAGATTAAGATTAGGTTAAGAGATTAAGCATGGGTAATGCTTGATATTTTTTTGTGACAAAACTACTTAACTCAAGCTTCCTCCTGTCCCAAAATTTAATTTATAAATAAGAATTTACACAAAATCATTATCCTCTCTACTATTCTTTATGGATGAAAAATGTGGTCGCTAACATTAAGGCATGAGGAATGTCTTAACATTTTGTTATTCAAAAATTTTAAACAAAAACTGTCATGTCATCGGCTATTATTTTGTAACAAATGGCTATTATTTTGTTACACAAGTGCAATGGCGATTTAACTTATCATTGGTCAATAAAAAATCTGGGCATGAAAAGACAAATTAGTTTGTCACCAGTCAACGAGGCGTTAGGTTTTTTGAAAATAAAGTATCACGTCATCAAGAAGGACGAGTCAATCAGAGAATTTAGGGAGATATATTATGCCGAATTGTGTGAACTATATCCAGTTAATATAATTAAGGTGATTACATTGCAGCTAGTACTAATTTATTGAATAATAATACAATCAGCCACTGGAGGGCTATAAGTATTAGGGCTAAGAGTTCTCATTCAAACAATATATACAAATAATAGAGAAATAAATATAAATATAAAAAGTAAATAAATAATACTGATGAAGAAAGAAAATAAAAGAAAAAAAAAATAAACAATAACATAAAAAGAAACTTATAAACACAATCATACCTATATACAATATATACATTCGCCCAAGAATCTCCGAGCCAGGCTTTTTCCCCCACATGTGGAAGGCAAAGCAAGACTCCAGGAGATTCCAGTGCCACTTTTCCAGCCGCATCACTGGTATTAGAAGCCAATGGAGACTGAAAGAGGGCACTAGAGCCACAGACGCTCGGGACATGAGTGGAGAAGCTGGCCATTGCCAGGACTCCAGAAGCATATTTACAAGAGATCTCTGGGCCACTGCCGTTTTAACCTTCGTGGAGGATTGTAGGGATGAAGGGAGCTGGATAGGGATTGAGCTAGAGGATTTGGATGATGGATAAGGTTTTGGTGAAAGTTTGAGAATCTGGTTGGGATGATGTCGAGGACAAATGGGATGTTAAGGTCATGGTGTAGGGTCTTGTTTGTGACATAATATGGGGCATTGACTATTGTTCTAAGTACTTTGGACTGGAAGGATTGGATGCGTTTGATATTCGAATGTTTAGCAGTTCCCCACAGTTCAAGTCCGTAGGTCCAGATAGGTTTCAGTATGGTCTTGTAGATTAAAAGTTTATTTTCAATCGAAAGATGGGATGTCCTACTTAGTAATCTATACAGCTGGCCATATCGTCGGTTAAGTTCTTGTCTTTTAAGTCTGGTATGTGGGTTCCAAGTTAGTCTTTTGTCAAGAAGGAAGCCAAGGTAACGGACTGTGTCTGAGTAGGGAAGTGGAATTGAATTAAAAAGGATTGACGGACAGGATCTGCGTCGCAGGGTAAAAGTGATATGTTTGCATTTTGATTCATTGATTTTGATGCGCCAGTTGTTGCACCACTGCTCAATCAAAGAGAGGTGAGATTGTAGGTTTAGAGATGCTATTTGAGGATCTGAGTGGGAAGATAGAATGGCAGTATCATCAGCAAATGTAGCTAGAAATGTATCGGGATTGGAAGGGATATCGGAAGTGAAGAGGATATAGAGAACTGGGCCCAAGACACTGCCTTGTGGAACACCAGCCTCAACTGGATAGTAAGTGGAGAATGCGGTGTCACAACGGACTTGAAAGGAACGATTTGAGAGGTAGGATTTGAGGACTAGGTATAAGGATTGGGGTAAATGGGTTTTGAGCTTGAAAAGCAAGCCATCGTGCCACACCCGGTCGAAAGCTTGTGCTACGTCCAGAAAGGCACCAGTGCAATAATGCTTGTTTTCAAGTGCAGAGGATATATGGTCCACAACACGAAGGCCTTGTTGGACAGTGGAATGTCTTGAGCGGAATCCAAACTGATGAGAAGGGATGTTGTGGGATTCGATTATGGGTAGGATGCGTTTGAGAAGGATTTTCTCAAAGATTTTTGAGAGGATCGGGAGTAAGCTTATCGGTCTATAGGATGATGTGTTATTAACAGGTTTACCTGGTTTTGGAAACAGGATGATTATGGAATGTTTCCACACCAAAGGAAAGTTGGTTGTGCGAAGGATGCAGTTGTATAGATAGGTAAGGAATATGATTGCTTTTTTGGGAAGTTGTCTGAGGATTTGTGAAGTGAGGAGATCATATCCAGGGGATTTTCGGGGTTTTAATTTGTTTATAAGGAATTTGACCTCAGAGGGGTTAACAGGTTTTGGAGGTAGAGAGAGAGGAATTGGTGAAGAGAGGAATTCTTCAACTTCAGCAGTGTGGCTGGGATGGAGTTCGGGGTGAGGGGTGAATGTGTAGGATAAATGTTTAGCAAACTCCTCTGCTCTATTCGCATCTGACGAAGCCCAGGAACCATCATCACGGCGAAGTGGATGGGAAATGGACTGGAATTTAAGGATTTTTTTGGTTACGTTCCAGAGGGAGTTATCACTAGCGGATAATGAGGAGAGGTAGGAATTGTAGGATTGGGTTTTAAAAGTTTCCAGTTTCTTTTTTACCTGTTTGGAATAATAATTATACGATTTCCGGTCATCAGGATGCCTAGTTCTTTGCCAAAGGGTCCTAGAGCAACGTTTGCTATGGATTAGGTCCAATAGATCTTGAGGTAAAGGATTTATGTTATGGTATTTTTTGGGACGATCAGGTGAGGATGCAGTCCAAGCTGCTTGCTGGATCAGGGTAGTGAAGGAATGCACTGCATCGTCGAGGTCTTCAGGTGTTTTTAAGGAAACTCTGAGGTCAATATTATCTTCCAGTATTTGACGGAAAAGGTTCCAGTTAACTGGCCCCCTGATAAATGAAGGTGGGGATGATTTGGGAATGGGAGATGTGGAAACGGTTAGGACTAGAGGACTATGGTCTGAGGAAAGATCATCAAACCTTGAAATAGAACAGTGTAGTGATCCTAGACCTTTGTGGAGGAAAAAGTCTAGAAGGTCGGGATTGCGGTTGGGATCTGTTGGCCAGTATGTGGGTGTATTAGGTGAAAGGATGTTGCTGCGATGGGAATTAAGTGCAGATAGCAATGTTCGGCCTCGGGAATTTGTGGATCTGGCTCCCCATTGCTGGTGTTTTGCATTTAGATCTGCACCTAGGAGGAAGTGGTGTCCTAAGGAATTCAGGAAGGAAATTATTTGGGATTCGGAAATGGGTGTTTTAGGTGGGGAATATGCCGCAACTAGTGTTATTGGGTAAAGGGGTGTTTGGATTATTACGGCTGTGGATTGTAGGAAATTATGGCTTGGTAAGGGAAACAAATGATGGGAAACGGATCGATGGATAATTATGGCAGTGCCACCATGTGCTGTTCCATCAGGATGGTCGGTTCGATAAATATTGTAGCCGGGCACGTTGATTTGTCGTTTGTTGGTTAGTCGAGTTTCAGTTATTAGTGCTATGTCGATGTTTTTGTCATGTAATAAGATTGTCAGTTCGTTGATGTGGTTCCGAATACCATTCGCATTCCAGAGGAGAATGGAGAGGAATTTGGTTGAGGACATTTATGGATTTCTTGGCAGTGGAATGAGGTTGGATATAACATTGGTAAGTAGCGAAATAAGGGGGGTAATGAGAGATCTAAATTCGGAAAGGAAAGATGTCAATAGGCTTGTGAGGTCAGTGGAATTGGAAGGAGGAGGAATGAATGTGTGAGTATTTAACCTACGTTCAGGGATGGAGGGATATGGGTCTTGAGGTTGATGTGTGAATTCTTGAGGTTTAGATTCTTGTGGCAGGGCCTGAGATTGAGTGTTTACAGTGTCTCCTTTGAACATCTGAGCATAGGACACTCTTCCGTTCACTGTTCTATAGGGTTGTCTTGGTGGCCTGGATGTCCCTTCTTCTCTAGGCGTTGCGTACATTCGTGTTTTCAAATCTTTGTAAGTTTGACAACCCTTGTAGTTGGCTGGGTGTCCTTGGTGGCATAAAGCGCATACTGCAGGTGAAGTTCTAGACTTCCTACAGTCCTCTGTTTTGTGTTGCTCACCACACCTCACACATCTAGGAATGTGATGACAATACCGTTTCGTATGGCCATAAGCCTGGCAGTTATGGCATTGAACGATGTCGCGCTTGCTGTAGGGCTTTTCTACAACAACGCTTGTATAATAAAGGCGTGTGACCTTGTAGATGTTTTCGACATCAGGTGTTCGGTCAAGGTCAACGAAGAATAGTGGAAGAGGTATTTTATTTTTTATTCCAGGCTGTTCTCTATCCTCCTTAAATATGTTCACTATCTGGCGAACATGGAATCCCATACCCGTGAGCTCTTCTTTTATAGCATCTGTTGGCGTAGATGGGTGCAGTCTTCTGATAACGACCCTGAGCGCCCTCTCTTGACGCAGTTGATACGTGTGGTAATCAGCCTTGGTGTCAGATAAATATTTTATGATTTTTCTATAGGTTTCTGGAGTGTCGGGCATTAACTTAGTGTCATTGGTGCGGCTTTGGCATAAATATTTTCCTGAACCTACCAGATTATTCAATTGATTACACATCAATTGAAAATTTTTAATATTTCTAACAAATATTGGTGGGGGTTTGGGTTCTCTGGGGATGGATGCTGCTTCCATTTGTTCGTTGTTTATATTTGAAAGCACTTCAAATGGATTCGAAGTGAAAAACGGCGATTCTTCACCCATAGCTTGAGTTGTCTCATAATTGTTGGGTTGTTGTGAGGAGCCAGGTTGGGGTTCCACTTCTTCTATGGAGCTCCCTGGTGTGGCTGGTGGAGTGTTTCTTTTCGAATGCCTTGTCTTTTTTTTAATGGGAGAACTAATTGTAGTATCCAGGCTCCTGGACCTAGTGTTTTTGCCCTTACTCGACATTAGCATGTGATAATATCGCATTTCATATTTATTTTTAAAAGAAAAATTGATAAAAGTGAAGAGAGGAAAAAAAAAAAAATTTTATTGAACACGAAAATATAGACGCGCTCTTGGAGAGCACAGATCTGCCTCCGACGGAGGGATCTAGCCCACTGGTATTAACGACTGTTGCAGCTTATGGCTGGCCGTTATCTAACTAACCTAAGGTCTATTTACACTGTTCACTCTTGTGTTGTAAATAAGTGATTACTCACCTTATTTTTTTTGTCCAGTATAAACGTAATTGTTAATGTAACTGATAACACTAATTGTTCACATTAAACTTGTATACTGCCACTGATAAATGAGATTTTTATAAGAGACGACCTGACGTATGTTTAACTAGGGCTAACGCATGCGCAGAACTCTGACAGCTAGTACTAATAGATATATTAAATTGTTGGGCTTAGTAATGAAAGAATCTCTAAAAGGTTAATATGTTAATATGCTGACTGGTAAACATCCAAGGGATAGACCGAAGTGAAGGTGGGAAGATTGTGTTGATTCGGTGGGATTGGGCTTGGACCGTGATCGGTGGAGGAAGGTGTGTCGACAGTGTCAGTATCAAGCCTTCGGGTTCGCTAAGGCTTTTATTAATATTATATTCTACATCTGTCATGAAATGAAATGAAAATATATTTTATTATTCTGGGACTGTTGTCCCTTTAGAACAAATTATAAGTGTAGAATACATGTATGTGTGGTCATAAATAAATTAAATATATACGATAATAGTTATTTAAAGTAAAAATATAGAAGAGAGAGAAAAAGACAAGAAAAGCGTACACATATATAAGACAGTCAAAGGAAATTAAAATAAAATAAATAGTTTCTGGGGGTTCTTCGTATATTAGATATGGGGGTTCTTTTAGGTATATTTCGTAATCAGTCAGATTGAGAAAGGAGTAGGTGTTTAAAGAGGAGAGGTTTGAAAGAGGAAACTGATGGTGCGTGTCAAATATCAGCAGAGATGGAATTCCAGAGGGATGCGGCTTGAATTACAAATGATTTGTCAAACGCAGCAGTTTGGTGAGGAAGAGGATAGAGGCCGGAGGTACGAGATCTAGTGGGACGGGATTGAATAATTTTAAAATGTATTTTAAAAACATTCATTGCTATGTATAGCTGATCCTGTTAACACAAAAGGACATTTGAAAGGATTTTATATACTCTAAGAAAGAGATATCTTTCTCACCTTAAGCAGTTCATCTTTTTTATGAATTGGTGATATTGCAATCTTATAGCAATCTGATGGCATGGGCTCCTAAGAGTCTTCATCAGTTACTGACCACCACTTTTAAAAATGATATGTTAATCATGATATGTTGTGCTTCGTGGTTCTTTAAAATGTTTATTGCATCAAAAACATCATTCAATTTAGCTGTTTTATTAATATGTGAAATAATTTGACACATCTAATTTATATATATATATATATATATATATATATATATATATATATATATATATATATATATATATATATATATATATACATTCATTTTTAAGTAACAATTTAATACTTAATGTTTCTTCCAGGAGGAAAGAGCTCACTGACACTTGCAGCAAAGAAGATGATGAACGTGTGCATTGAAAGGCTCGGTGAGAAAGAGGAGAGACTAATGAGACTCGAGAAGGCTATTAATCCACTGTTGGACGATAACGACCAAGTTGCTTTCACGTTCATTCTCGACAATGTTGTAAATAACAAATTGAAAACAATGGCTGAATCGTGGCCGTTTGTCAAACCTGTCAATAAGAAAGTGGTCAAGGATTATTACTTGATTGTCAAAGAACCGATGGATTTGGAAACCATTGAAAGAAAAGTTAAATGTAAGTAGAATGATTGATTTCATTGGCATTCTTTCGTGCATGTATAAAATATTAATAGCAAACCTGTTTATTATTAATACTAATATTAATTAGTTGAAATAATGTAAAGGAACTTTTTGTTTTAACTATTTGTGTTCCGATTTTTGTAAGCCATGCTTATTTTATCTTGTCTTTCTTTTAAAAGCAGAACCGCTAATGTACAAATTCCTAATTTTCAGAAAAAGTAGTTTCGAGTCATCTTTGTCTTTAGTAATTATTAAATTGTCTTTAATTATAATTAAAGATATTCACACTCTTGGCATTTTAATTTCACAAATGAACTTCTTATTTTTTACTTCCATGGTTTCATCTCAGGAATAAAAAAATATGGCGCGGTGCGCGCCTCACAAAACTTTCACTTACCACCCTCTTAGCAGAAATAAGTATTTTCAGACAACAGGGAAGAGAAAGTAAAAATTATAGACGCTATATTTATTTATATTTCATTGTGGGTATTTTTATTTGTATAAGTACCCTTATATATACAAATTTTATTATTTATATTGCTGCAATCTATACAATTAAATATTAAATAATACCAACAATAGCATTTATGAAAACCGCATATGTATATTTATATAATATTGTCGGAATCCGTATTATATTAAGCTCATGTTACGTATTGAAGCATGTTTTAATCTTTCGGGCGAGCTCGTATTCCTTTGGTTTCTCAATTACAACTATTCTCTGTTACGATCTCTTATTCCTACTTTAGTTAATTATCAAATTCCTTCATATTGTATATTTAACTATCTTTTATGTTAGAGATTAATGTGAAATGGTCAATTGTTTCAAATAAAAAAAAATTAAACGTACTTTATGGGAAACTAATGTTGAAAATTAGCCATTTAAGCCCTGTTAGAGAATATAAATCAGAATAAAAACTACATTTTATTTAAAACAGCTTAACTTTACCCTGATATAATGAATTTAATCAAAATTGTTAGAGCCGTTTTCGTAAAAATCGTAAAAGTGTGTTTGGTCTATGATATAAGTGCCACTTCCGGATAGCCGATTTTGACAAAAAAGTTGCTGTAACATCCCTAGCATATAAAATCCTTATATATGCAATTTCACTTTCGTACGACTTTTCCTTTTTGAGCTAGATTGTTAACACACTCATAGACCGTTTTGCGGGACTTGGTTATTTGGACTCAGGGGACCTCAAAACATGTATTTCCGTTGAAAACTGAGATTTGAAAATTTTCACGATCGCAATACTTTCCTTTGCTATATATTTCATATGTAGGTAAGTGAAAATAAAACATATTTTATACTATTTACTAAAGTGAAATATGACTTTTTTCTCATTTGTGGTTTTGCGTTTGGACCAACTATGGATAAGTTTTATAAATTGATGTTTTTGTAATTTCATGAATTTCTGTTGTTTAATTATTTCATTATCCTATTTCTTACTGTTACAGCACATAAATATCATTCAAGAAAAGAATTTTTGGACGATGTTGAAAAAATATTAAACAATTGCATTTTATACAATGGCAAGGAGTCTCCATTTACTCAGAAAGCTGAAGCTCTTGTCAAAGCTGCGAGGCAGACCTTAGAGGAAGTGAGTTAACAGCTTTTAAATTTTATTCAAATTTTTTCATATTCATTTTAAACTTGAATTATTTCATGAATTTCATCTAGGGTTTAATAATATATTAAAAAAACTTATGGAGGGTTTTCGAGCAAAAGTCGTTTTTGAAGAGGTTCACATTTTGCATTTCTCATTCACTATTAATTTCTTAACCTGGCAGACAATATATTTTCACATCCAATATAAATAAGTGAAGTTTTACAATATTTAGCTGTAATTTATAATTAAAATCCATTTAGTTGGTGTGTGTATGTTGCTTCTTTTCCTGGCAGAAATCATTAAGTCATTAAAAATTACCAAATTCACTGACTGAACCTAGTGACTTTCGACTGAATGCCCACAATATAAAACTTTAACATAAATTTATTTTGTATTTATTAATTCTTTTATAATTACGCTTTAATTCTGTCAATTTTTCAGTACGACGAGCACTTGACTCAATTAGAACACAGTATTAGTCTTGCTCAAGAGAGAGCGCTCGAACAGGCAGAGATGGACTCCCTTGGTCCTTGGCAACACGATGAAGAGGGTCAAGAAGGAGACATGGTGATTATTTTGTTTTTATAACAATAGTTTATTTAATTGAGAGATTAAAAGTTAGGAAAAGTAGAATTATTATTATTATTATTAGCTAAATATAACTCTGAAAAAAAATTGGGAATAATGTTATTCTATAATGGAAATTTTAGAGGAAGGAGATGATCCGGGGTGGCGGTCATAAAGAGAATAAAATTGTGGATAAATTATTTTATTTCAAGCCTTATAGTATTTTTAAACTTAAACTGCTTGCTGAACACGCCTTCCTGAAGGAGACCTACAAAGTCGGGTCGAAACGTTGGCTTGAAATAAAATAGTTTTTCCACTATTTTAGTCTCTTTATGACCGCTACCCTGGACCATCTCCTACCTCTAAAATACACTACGGTCAATTCATTAAGTACTCACTATAATGGAAATGTTTGTTATCTTACCATTTCTATTTCTACTATTGTTATAATATTGAGTAAGAATTTATAAGCTTATTATACAGCTTGCTCATCTTAAAGGATGTGAAAATTGTCTACTTTTATTAAGAAAAAAGCAGAGCTTCTATGTTTTTTATATTAGATTTATATATGAGCCTTCGGTTAACACAAACTTCAATTTGAAATGAAAAAATAATTTTATTCTGGGACTACTGTCCCCTAAGAATAATAACAGAGTTACAAATTTATGGGTCTTAGTATGACATAATAATAAAAATACAAAGTAATTTACTGTTAATTGTTATTTCAATTGTGCAATAGATTGAAATTAACCAGTGTACAGATGCAAGTAATTTTATATGTTAGGTGAAGTTTGAATGTGAAGTAGTGTTGGAAGAGGATTTTGTGGACGAGGATTGATGCATGGAGGTAAGAAGTGAGTTCCATAAGGAAGCAGCACGAATGACGATGGATTTGGGGAAGAAAGTAGTTTTATGAGAGGGGATATATAAATCTATAGGTTGAGACCTAGTATTAAGAGAGTGGATAGCGGAGCATAGAGTAAGGAGATCCAGGATGTAGGGAGGGTTCTTGGTTCTGAAGACTTGGAAAAGGAAAACACCAAGGAGGAATTGTCATCAGGAAGTAGGATAATGCCACTTCAACTCGGTTTACCAGAGTGAAACATGTGAACGCCTGGGGATCCCCAAAATGTATCTTATGAAACAATTCATGAGTCTCTTTAGTCTCATTTCCAGCCTGGCAGATAGTCATCCATACACCAAGCAGCCGTAGTCGAAGTGGGGGAATACAAGGGAGGTAACAAGGAACTGTCTGGTTTTTAGAGGAATACAATCACGGAATCTTAGGAGTTGTTTATGGGCAGTTATGGATTTTCGGGTAATCTGGGAGATATGATTATCCCAGGAGAGGTTTTGGTCAAAGGTTACTCCTAGGTTTTTGACTGTAGGAAAAAATGGATGGGACGGTTATTGAGGTTAAGTAGAGGAAAGTAAGGAACGGAGCTAATGAGATGTCTGGACCCGATGAGAATAGCCTTGGTTTTATGTGCATTCTGCTTTAATTCATTTATTTCTGCCCCATCTGTTGATGCAATCGATGTCCTCTTGTAGCCTTCGGGCAGCCTCAGGCATCTCAGAATATTTCTACATTTTTATTATTAATTTTAGTTATATTTTTAGTTGGAAACTTTATACCTCTATTCACAGTTCTATATTTCAAAACTGCAATCATCTACTATGGAATCAACATAGTCAAAAATTTTGAAATCAAAGTTCTTTAGTCATTCTTTCATCTGAAAGGCTCAAATATACAGTGGTTCACAGTGAATTTGGTGAACTCTGTAAAAAATAGAAATAAAACTTCATTTTCATCATGGTTTCAGTAAACAAATAAAACTAGAAACTCTTCAAAAGATTTATTTATAATATCGATTTAAATATGTACAAACTCAATAAAATTAAAATATTCAATTGTGATTATTAAAAAAAATTAAAGATACCTCACTTCTTTTTAAAAATACTATTAATTTAGTTCAATATCTTGTAGGCAAGCCATTATTTTCTACCACTTCTTTCAGTCTGTTTGTAATGGAGTTGAACAGTGTTTTGGTGAATTCGGGGCTTAGCCTGTTCCGCTCTTTGAGGAGATATTTTTTTCAAGTCTTGTTTGCTAGAAATTTAGTGTTAGCTTTATCTTATCACTGTTGACTTTCCTAGGGAATGATATTAGCATTTTTATTCTAAAACCTTGTAAGCCCAATTCTCTAAAATATTAAATTGTTGTTAGTAACTAATCACCCATTTACTTAAAAGAATGCGAACGACCCGAATTGTGGAAGGATTTCATCGTTTCTTTACTAAGACAATGCGCTGGCTCATCCCGCATTGCCTTTCAAGAAGTACAACATCCCAATGCTAGACCATCTCCCTTATTCACCGGATCTTGTGCTGTGTGATGTTTTTAACAATATCAGAAATTTACTATGATATACAACAAGAAAAAATAATCAAGATTTTTAATTTTTTTCTAACAGAAATATAGTCTTGTAGTGGTTCATTTGCCTATTGGTCATAAACAAATTAATCAAAAATTAGTATTTCATTGCAATATTACACTAATTTTTGATTAATTTATCTATGACCAATAGGCAAATGAACCACTATAAAAAGAAGAAAGGTCAAACAAGCATAATGAAGAAATATAGTTTATAATAATATAATGGCAAATTTTGTTTAATATATACATATGTCAGACCTATCGCAACACAATGATGCTCTACTGGCTACTTTTGCTAACGATACGTCAATCCTTATCTCAGATAAAACCCTTGTTTGAGCATTTACTGCTCTTCAAAATCATCTTAACAATATTGCTGATTTGACCACAAGATGGAAAATTAATATGAATGAAGAAAAGAGTGAGAATGTAGTATTCACTCTTAATCATACACCTTTTCCCGAAATATGTTTTAATAACATTGAAATTCCAGCATCTGATGTAATTAGATATTTGGGTTTTTACCTCGACAAAAGACTAACTTGGAGGACTCACATTTGACAAAAACTAATGGAATTACACCAACTCTTTTATCCAGGTTATTTGATAGATGTTAAAAATTATCTTTAACTTACAAACTAACTCTATATAAAGTTTATTTAAACCAATGTGGACTTATGGTATACAATTGTGAGATTCTGATAAAACTTCCAATATTAAAAAAATTCAGTTATTCCAGTCAAAAGTGTTGCGAAGGATAGTTGACACACCGTTTTATGTTGAAAATAATATATATTGCATAAAGACTTGAAAATCCCAACAATTTTAGGCTCTGCAGGATAAAACTACAGTAACGTTCACCAAAGACTTATAACATAAAATCTTTAAACACACAAGATACCCGCACAGCCCACCATGGCGATTACGTAGGCAGTGGCCAAGAGACCTGCTGAACTGATTTACATCCTGGATATGTAATGAATAAAATAGGTCGCAAATTTAATTTGATGTTCAATTTTATGTTTGATTAATTAATAAATAAAATTTGCATGTGTAAAATTTCCTTTTATGGGCCTACCAAGGTTTTAGATATAAGCGATCGATAGTTGATTTTAAGCATTACAACACATCAGCATTATTATCCTAAGCTTATTTGAATTTTAAAATTTGGTTAATTTTTCATTTAGTGGCACAAATATCAATGGTTAGTCTTGAATCTTGAGCCTTAATAAATATTTCATTCCTCATCGTATTACACATTCTTTCTTTCATTACTCCATTAGTCATTGTAAATAATAGATCAATGGTTCTTATTCAGTTGTAGTGTTTTTTTTTTTTAAATATTCAATGGAAACTACTGTTTTAACTCGTTGCCTTTCATAAATCATATTGTTGATCACTGCCACCATTTTCTGTTTAGTACAATAAAAAAACCTCATTAAAATGTTTTATTTTTATTTTTTTAGAACTCCACCATCAATGAAGAATACGAATTCATTGAAGTTGAAACACCATCTGGTAGGGAAATGAGGAAAATCAAAAAAGAAGCAGTCGAGGGAGGAGTTTTGGAGGAGGGTGCGTACACTTAGAAAAATTCTAATTTTTTGTATTTCATTGTTTTGAGAATTACAGTTTATTAATGACAAGTTGATTTTTCAGATTTGCAGTTTTCTTCAGAAGAAGATGAAGAACTTGAAGAGGTCGCTGGGTATGAAGGAGGTCCTGATGATGACAGCCAGCAGGTTGCAGAAGCCATGGTACAATTGGGCAACATTGCTTATTATGCAGAGCCAGCACCAGGTATATTAAATCATATAATATATATAATATATATTCTATATGTATATATATATATATATATATATATATATATATATATATATATATATATATATATATATATTTATTATCTTTTGTTTATTAAAATTTATGAATTGTATTGTGAAATATTATATTGATAGAGATGGAATATATCGTAGAAATTGAAAATTTAGAGGAAATACTTGTTGCTTTATCAATAATCAGTTATGATTATTTTTTTGGTATAGCTTTCATCGCAGCAATCTTGGGATCGTGCGGGTCAGTAGTAATGGGCTTTATATATATATATATATATTATAGGGAGTGGGGTAGCTCAGTGGTAGGGCACTGAACTTCCAATGCAAAGGTCCCAGGTTCGAACCCCGGCTCATGGCAGAATATTTATCTGTTTCATTGGCCGTGGGGCGAGAACCCTGGGTTGGAAGTCCCTCTTGGGGCACACCCAGCCTCTGTAAAGTAGGTACCCTTAATTAAATAATTGATTAAGAGGGAAAACCTGGCGGTTAAGCGTGATCTCGGTCAAATCACCTCCTTGCACAACCGTTGACCTAGAAACAGTGCTTTTCCTAAATAGTACTGAACTCCAGACCCTTCATGGGTTGTAGTGGTACAGGTATATATATATATATATATATATATATATATATATATATATATATATATATATATTATATATAACAGGGGCTGGAATAGCTGTACGGACTAAGGCGCTTGCAACAGGTAATCAAAGTTAAGCACTTGGATGGTTAGTACTTGGATGGGTGACCGACCACCAGGAAAAGCCATGCTGCCTGAGTCTCCCCCTCCCCACTGGGTATATGAGGTATATGGATACATGACCACGGTCATTATATTCATCCACCTTTGACTGTCAATTACGGTACTGGTCGTTGTATTGAAATCTAACAGGGGTGTAAATAAAATTTATTTATTAAAAAGAAAAACATATCAATACTATTTAATATTTGTAATATATACATCTGGGTCAAGATATGGTTGGCAAGCACTCATTCGTTCGACCCGTGGTGCTTCTTAAAAGAGTATTCATTAACCAGAAATGTTGCAGTTGTCGTCGTAGAAATAATTATTATGCTGTTTATAGTAATAAAGAAACTAAATTACTTATGAGAAACTACATTAATATTAGAATCTCCTGTAGCTCTTTATTTTATAATGGAGAAAATCAGAGCTTTATATGTTAAGTATCAACTTCAGCTCCTCTCATTTTATGAAAATATAATAAAAGCTATCAAACAATCAAAATAAATTAATAATAGTTTAGTTTTTAAAATAAAAAATCCTAATCAAGCTTAAAAAATGCTTCCTCTAAAACATTATATTTGTTATTTTAAAAAAAACTGATTTTTTTTCTCAAAACATATTGTAGTCAATTTTCTTTATATATAATAAATGAATTTAGTTATAAAATATACATTTTTAATATTTGTGTCCGCAGACATATTAGTCAGGAAAAACTATCATTAAATAGGGAAATGTCAGGGAATTTTACTTTAAATGAATGGTAGCCACCCTGTTATTTTATATTTTTTTCTGAAATATTTATTTATGTAATAGATGCTGCTATGGAGGAAAGTGAAAGTATGGATGTGGACCCTAACTATGATCCATCCGACTTCTTGGGGGGCTTGAAGAGAACCGGGGAAGAAACAAGAGTCGAGGAAGATCTTGCCGTTAGTGAATCGGACGATGAAATGCACGTAGATATAAAACAGGAAATGCTTCAGGTGAAAAATGAGCCTCATCACAATGAGCTCCCGTCCGAACCTGATGATGATGGTGCATTGTGGTTCTAAACTTAATCGTTGAAAAATATTTTGGTTTAGAATGATTAGAGATTCAGAACTAAACATTCAAACTAAGCTGTTCTCTATGCTACAAACATTGCCTGTTTTTTATTTTTATATTGTTTGTCAGGGTAAGATATACAAAATAGTTATGATCTATGGAATGAAGAATTGCCTGTTCCTTAGACTTACAGATTGTAAATTTCATTTTGTAAATAGGCTGTATATAAAGTTTGTAAATAAATTATGTACGTATTCATATTCTAGTTTATGTTGAAAACAAACAAAGAGTTATATTGTTTGATCTCCATATTTTTTCTTTCTAAATTAATATAATTGTGAGATGAAATAATTCTTAATAAAGTAACTATAAATGAATGAATTCCAGAAGAATATTGTGAAATATTTTATTTTTATGCCCTATGGGTTTAAATTTTATTTTATTGTTGTATAATAAAGCCTATATTTTGTTCAGTTTAGTGTTTTATATTTTATACTCCTCACTATATACATATTTTACACCTTGATTAAGAATTAAAAACTAAAAGATAATGTATATTATAAGCATAAGAAATTCTATCAACTCATTCTTAGTAAGAAAGAGTGAAAAATAACTTAAGATGTGCGGAGATATAAATTTATTTTCATTAACTTATGTTATTTATATTTGTACATTTTAGTTGACAGAATGACTAACTCCCAATTTCAACATTTTTTATTATTAATTTTAGTGATATTTCTAGTGGGAAAATTTATACCTTCATTTACAGTTCTGCCTAGTCCTGTCATAAATATTGTTACAAGGAAATATATACAGATTTAAAAAGAAAAATTAATCTTTTCAAAAACTTTATTAGAAAATAAAATGTATATCTATAGAGAGTAAAACAAAAAATAAATTACTCAAAATTTCCCTTTTTTGCCTTTACAGAGGCATTTAAACTCAATGGACAGTCATCAATAGCAGCACATAGCACTTCTTGAGGAAAGCGCTCAACAGCTAGGACCAGAGATTGTTTGAGGCTATCCAAATTAGGGTGTGTTCTGTGGCATGCCAGCCTCTCCAGTTCGGACCAAAGCCGATAATTTAGTGGGTTGAGATCAGGGCTTCCTGAAGGCCAATCCGAAGTAGAGATCCAACTCTGAAATGTTCTTTTGTAGCCACTGCTGAGTTGACCTGGCCTTGTGAGTGGAGTCCTGCTGGAAAACCCAATGACTTCCAGCAAACAAAGTACCATTTAGAGGCTTGACAACAGGTTCCAAAATATCGTTCTAATAGTTTTTAGTGGCTATTTTAACTCCATTTTCACAAAAATAGAATTTTGTGATGCCATCAAAGCAAACTCCCCACCAAACCATCACTGAGGAAAGGTGATGACCTCTTTCCACTCTTCCAATGACTTCCTGGGGTTTAGAGCTGTGTGCGTACACACGATCATTTTGGCGATTAAATTTTTCTTTAATTGTAAAAATTTTCTCACCGCTTAACAAAATCTTTCGATGAAGACCGTTGGTGTAATGGCCAAGGAGCACTTTGCATCTATCCACTATAATTTTTTTTAGGGAAGTGGTTAGCCTTTGTCCTGTCATTCTTCGAAATGCACCCATCCTAAGGTCACTTTTTATTATGTGAGACATTGATCTGTCAGAGATTCCCATTTCCCGAGACATGATTTGTTGTTTTTGAATGGAATTTCTTCTGATTTGAGCAACCACTGCTCTCACTGCATTTGCCGTTCTCACAGTGCGTGGCAGCACATACATATAGGGGCAGATAATATCAATTAATAGTGCGGTACACAAACATATGGCTGATACCCAAAGGTTTCAGTGTTGAAAATCTCTGACTTACATTTTCCAACTTTGTGTAAGGGGTTCACAGTTATTCGCTTTTCTTTATCCCCCCACTCCATGTTAACTGAGCGAAAGTAAAATACAAACTAATTGGGATTATTATCCTGACGTAAAGAAAATAACCTGATAGAGGTATGGATTATCTAAATAATACCCAAGGATGTAAACAAAGTTCACCTTTTGTAACAGTATTTATAGCAGAACTATGTATATTTCAACATTGCTATCACCTAATCTGGAATCAACTCACTCACTGTCTGTTCAGATATTATAATTTTTTTTACTAGAAATATCTCTAAAATGACTACTCAAAAATGTTGAAATTGGGGTTATTCATTCTGTCAATTAAAAGTCTCATTTATCAATTAAAGTCACTGTGAAATTATCTTGTTGCAGTGAAATAAAGAAAAAATAAACTTAAATGTTTTGCAAAGATTATTAAAAATTGTATGATGCCTCATAACTGACACTATAGGGCATTATGCTTTTTGCACTTACTACGCCTTTGGTATTATCTTATTTTTCAAGTGTTTGTCTGGTGTGCCTAGTTAAATTTTTGTGTTTATTGTTACCTCCATATGGTATCAGTCATAAAATTGTTTATGTGAAGCTTGAACTGTGGATATGTAAACTTATTCCATGATGATCCTGCTATAGAGTCACAATACCTTTTATTGGAATGCCTGCATCTTTTTTATATCTTCGTTTTCCTCTTAAGAATTTCTACATTTAACACCATTCCTTAGTAATATATTGTCGGTTTATTACAAAAAGTCATCAAGTGGCATTTCATAAACCCAAATAATTAAGAATTTTACCATTTTGAAATCAGAAAATTGAGCACTTAGTGTAACTATATATGATAAATAAAAGGATGTGTTTAATTTTTATGTACTTACGGTGTTTTTTGTATAAAGAAATAAAGTTCACAAGAATATATTTGAAAGTTAACCTTAGGAATGGGCGATAGTCGATAGTTCATATCCTCTACTTAGGCACAAATTATATTAAAATTTTATGTACTTAAAGGAATAATTTTAATAACACGCCTTCATTCTTCTTCCCATTTATTGATGCACGATATATACTGATAATATAACAATGTAAAAGTTAAATATTTGATAATGGAAAAGCCACATTAATAAAATAAATGGATAGAACTTTGAAGGCGTGTTTAAAACTATTCTTTTCAGTATACAAAACTGAAACTAAATTTAACAAGAAGCCTTCAAGGTAAAAAATAATTCAATCTCAATTTACTTCCTTAGAAATATTTTTACAACTCCAGTTGTGCCGATATTAAAAATGTTACATATACCTCACCTTTTTTATTGTTTTTTTCATAAAAAACAATATATTGAATAGAAAAATGGTAGGGATTATCAGTAAAAAAAAGAAATAGTAAAAATAAATAAGTATATTTCTTTCTAATTGTGGGTTTACGATTGACTGTACTGAATAATTGAAGAGAAGGGTGGTTGGGGTGATCAGTAAAAATAAAAAATAGCAAAAATAAATAGTTATATTTACTAACATTTAATTATATTTCTCTGTTTTACATTTTATTCTCCGCTGATTTAGCCCGAGCCAGATACCTATCCTTTCATGATAAACTGCAGTCCCATTCGAATCCACTTGTTTCCTGCCTTGCTTCTTCCTCAATTCCTGATAATCCCCCTAGGTGTCTGAAAAGAAGATGGCCTCATGATCTTCTCACCTAGAATTAAATAGGGAGTGCTACCACTGGGCAGTATCTCTTCAAGTCTGTTCATGTAATTTTTTTTAATGTGTGCATTTTTACTAGTTGTATTTTTGCTTCCTCACTACCGAAGGTAGGGAAGCATTGTGTCCGTGCGAGAGATTAAAAAAATTTTTTGCTCAGAATCGAAAATTTTCACTCGCGTTTTACGTTTCAGACATCAAGGATCAAATTTGGTTCGGTGTCTGTCTGTCTGTCTGTCTGTAGTCAAATCGATGTGACGGGCATATCACCTAGTACCGTTCATCCAATCTTCATGAAATTTTCAGGGATTATGCTGATTGGTGCCTAGATGGTCCCATATCAATTTTATCAAATTCCATCCAGCACTTCCGCTTACGCACGCGCAAACGTATATTTTTAGATATGCCAATATTTCAGAAAGGGCTCGTTCGATTTGGCTCAAAGTTAGATAAAAGGTAGACTTTGGTGAAAAAATAATGTAGTGTCAATTTTATGAATTGCTAAGCATTTCTCTACTTATATCATACTATACTTCCGAAGAAGCTCAAAAAAGTTACGAGGGATGGTAAAATTAAATTCCGAATAACTCAAGAAGTATACACATTTATGTCAATATTGTATATGGTTTTTTAGAAGTTTACGGAATTTCCTAAAAAACAAAAAAAAATTGTCAAAATCGGACAATTAGGAGCAAAGATATGGTCTCTAGTTTTTTTTAGATGTGCTATTGCAAAAGGTTTATCTTTTTTTTTATTTCTGAATGTGTTACTGAAGTAATGCTATTTTTTTTAGCATATTACTAATGATTAAAAAAAATTTTAGTCCAATAATTAGAATCACCTTTTATTTATTTTTCTTTATAACTAGGAATTTAATGTTACTTTATATGTATAATTGTTTGGAAATAATATACCAAAGAGAAATAATTTGCAGTGGTTTTTTTCAAATTAATTATCGTTATATATATATATATATATATAAATCTTTCGTGCTGAAGCCCCTCCTCCAAAATTAAATCTTGATTCGGTAATGTATATACTATTATTAGAGCATAAGTTCGTATGTAATAATTTTCAACTTTAATTCTATGTGTATTAAAGGTGATATTTTGTAGTCTGCAACTGATATAAGTAGTCTGCTACTATGGAAAATAGCAGATGAAAATAAAATATGAAATTATTCTAATAAAGCATAAAGAAATATTGAGTTTTTATGCACTCTTGTAAAACAATAAATAAATTTATACATAAGACCTTTTGAACTAACAGTATTGAAATTCATGTTCAGTATGCATTTTTTTTATTTATTTTTTTTTTATTAAGCATAATCAAGTATGGAATATTCAAATACGACCCTCTGTTGTTGAATGTTGAAGGGTAACTGTAATCGGCTATTCCGATTCTGCTTCTCTCAGAGATTTTATTCTCATACTATACAGGTGTAAAGCTCATTAGATAAAAAAAATAAAAATATTTTATTATATGACTATCTCACTTCCTTTTAGCATACTATTACATCTTATGTTAGCCCATTTTTTTTTTTTTTGTCTATACTTACGTTTTTTATCTTGTAGATTCCACTATTTTTCGCTGTTAATTAATTTTTCATTTCATATGTTACCTTATTTTGATTATATTTATTTCATTAGTCCCTACTTTTATTATTATTTATTCTTAATTCTCTGTTACTGTTATCATTCTACCTATTTTGTTTTGCTTAAGTTCATTCTACCTACAATTTTTAGTCTATACCTTTCACCAACATATTATTTTTTTTATTATTAAATGTTTATAGTTTCTCATGCCTATTGTTATTTGTGTTTTTCATAGCCCTGATGAAGGCCAGTACTTTAGGCCAAAACATCAGCAAAAATAAAAATAAATATACTTATTTATTTTTAATATATTTTTTTAAACTAATCACCCCAACCATTCTTTTCTTCAATTATTCACTACAGTAAACCATCAATCCACAAAAAATAATATAATTATAAAATCTACAAGTATGCTATTACATTACAGTTTTATTATATTTTAAACTAGGTGTTATTATTAAATTAAATTTAGAATCTTGGAAATTAAGAGAAACACATTTCTCGCCGCCTTTTTCAATAGTTAAAACAATAATACCAATATGTCGTTGATGTTTCTTTTTTTGAATTCAACAATCAGAGAAATAAATGCAATTTATTTTTTTATATAAATGTATTTTTCCATCAATAATTTTTATTAGTGCCTTTACATAAATCTTTAAGAATGTATCCAATAAAAGGTAAATGCAGCATTTTAAAGTAAATAATTAAAGAATACAGCGAAAATAAATCCTCTTTAAGTTTGTGTTGGGAAGTTACTAAACTATCAATGCTATCGATAATTTTTTATCAAACTATTGACTGTCGGCCATCCCTAGTCAATCTATATAAAAAATGCACTTTGTATGTTTTTGCAATAAACCGATGGAAATGGCGTATGATGTGTTATTCTATTTTGATTAATATATTTGAGGCTCAACATATAAAAATGCCTCATCAGAAAGTTTTTGTGATGGTGTGGTATACAATACTTTGATTCTTCATATGTATTTAAACACAATTGTCTTAAATTAAAATGGAGATTCAAAGGTGATAAAATGATATCCATTTGTGATAAAGCTTTGAAGTTTTATTTAGAAGCAACTTTTACAGCTTTCATTAAATAACCTTAAGTTTAAATGGAATACATTACATAAATAACATCATTCACTTTTTAAATTGTACTTTCAGACACATTTTCATTATACAACTGAAAAAATATAAATATTGAATTATTTTTTTTTAAATAATTTTTTTTTAAATATGTTTGAAAAATCTATCACATAATTAAATAGGTAATTAAAATAAAGTTAACTTATAAACTAAATAAATATTTACAATATTTTTATATATACACAATGTTTACATTCATTTAAATATTTAAAAATTGAATATTTTCAAAGGTCTTATTTATGTAAATGAAATTTGTATTTGATTTTTTTTACAGTAGAAAGCTTAAAATTATGACGGTTGAATTTTTCGGATCATGAATACATACTGTTATTGTTCACCACAAAATTATTACTCAGATCAATTGCTGTTCTAAAAATAAATACTAAATCGCAACTGTAAGATCCGTTGAACAATGTTGTTTAGACTGCAATCATAACTCAACAATTATTGAAATTTTTCATTATGTCAGTCAGTAAATATTATTGTATAAATAAATATAACAGATTGATCATGTTTAGTTTGCTTATGGGAACATAATGTGGGTTTATAATGCTTAATGTATTTTCCAAATTTAATATTGACTCTTCAATGAGAACACCAATCTTATTCACAAGATAGTTATAGTTTTCATTAGCCAAGTTTATTATCTTATTTTGTTAAGATATTATTAAACATCTATATTTCCTTTAACAGGTAGAATTTGTTTCATAAGACTTTTAATCCAAAAAAAAAGTTCCTAAATTTTAAGTACTTTCATTTTTATTTGTTTCATAAGGAGTTTCAGAAGAAACTTTATATAAACTTTGGCTTTTAAGTTGAAAAAAAGATTTTTTTTTAATGCACAAATCATTGATTATTGTGTTTTTGAATCTAATTTTCACCAGAATGCATTTAGATATTTTAACTGGGCCATTGAATCGTATTACATTCTTATTTTAAATATTAGACCCTATAGGCTTAACCTCTGCAATACAGTTTGCTTGGAAAACATATTTTCCAACTGATCTCCATTTTCGAGATAATCAAAAATGCTAACAGTTATAAGAGGATTATAAATAAAGTATTTGATTTTTGATCAAGGGAGAGGTTGGTCTTTGTAAAGGTCAGTCGTTGAGCTCAGTTGTGGTTGTCACTGAGGTTGTCGTTGTGCCTGGCCCTCCTAGTGGAGATACTGCTCGACACGTGCCTGGCAGAGATCTCCGCAATGGAAGGAATGGGCTTGGATCTCATCTGTTGGTACTCTTCCGCATCCTCGTCTTTAGGGAGTGGTTCGTCTTGTGGTACTGGACTCCCGTCGGGCTTCACCCTCACAACCATTGGTCCAACAATGTACCTGCTTCCCGCGTAACTTTCCACTTTACTGGAAGCCTCCTCCTGAGAACCCAATTGGTTGCCTTCACTTGTACTCGGTTCTGAAATAAAAATAAAAACAAACTTCATCAATTTATGAAAATAGCAATATTTTTTAATAATTACTTCATCCTAAAATAGTGATATTAAAACTGTGATAAAATAATTATCTAAATCAAAATCCATCTCTTGGGACAGGATGTAAATATTAATTTTATGTGTCTGGACTAAACAGTAAAACTTATAAGACGGATTTAGGACCTCAAGACAAAAAAAAAATAAAAAAAAAAAAAAAAAAAAAAAAAAATGAAAAATAAAATTGGTCATCAATTTGAACAAAATATTTAATAATAGTGTAGAGATGGTTGACCATGACTATGATATGAAAAGGAGTTGGTCGGGGATGCGGTCAAATAAATACTAGAATAGTATTTTATTACTATAGTACGCCCCTCTCCCTACCCAACTCCTCAAATCAAAATATTTAATAATTAAAAAACTTGAAACTATTAAAAAACAATTATTATTATAATTATTTAACAGCTAATAATAATTATTATTTAACAGCTATCATTTTTCATTTGATATAATATAAATAATCAGCTATTATTATTGAAAAGTAATAGGTAAAGATAAATTTAAGTTTCAGACCTGTGATATTTTGAGATCCTAAATTAATCTTTTAAGTTTGACCATTTAATCTGGGTACAGTGAATTTCACTAATGTGTTTTTTAAGATTCAGATCTTTAAATTCACTTCAAAATCTTTTTATATCAGCCTGATTTTGCTAGAATAAAAATTCCACTCAAAGTAGAGTGGTAAGTATAAGTTATGTGATGCATACACTAGATTTTTTGTCTTTGATTAAGTAAATAAAGCAACGTTTTATAATCATAAATGTACATGACATATGTTTTCCTGATATTATGAAATAAGGCTCTGTTAATTTTTTCACCATATTTATTTTAATTTCCATAGCTGCGTTTCGGCCGGTAAGCCATCTTGAAGCCATTTTATCCAATCATGCTTTTTGCATTTTGCAGATTTTGGACTACATGCAAAAAGCGTGGTTGGATAAAATGGCTTCAAGATGGCTTACCAGCCGAAACGTAGCTATGGAAATTAAAATAAATATGGTGAAAAAATAAACAGAGTCTTATTTTATAATATTAGAAAATATTCATCTAAAACAAACACATATATGGTTTTCCTAATGTTTTGTAAGCCTATTGAGTAAAGTGTATTTAAAATTTTGAAGGAGTTTCGACTGAAAACCTAGATACTTAAATAGACAAAATAAAACTTAAATAAGTTTTATTTCAAGTAGGTGTTTATCGCGATCGTTATATAGGAGGAAGTGACCACAGTTATATAAGTGCCCTAGCCCTGACCTGCGCTGCCGTTTAGATAATTAAGAAGAAATACGATCGCCAGCAATATATTAATATATTAATCTGAAAGCAAGGCCTGCCTTCTGGATGGCAGATTTGGAAGATCAAAGAGGGCTGCGTTGATACCGTCAGGTCCTAATTACTGTACCAATTATAACTGTACTCAGTAAGGTCATTATTTATTTGACATGTATATTAAATATTGTAAAATTATTTTTTAATTACACAAATCAAATTTTATTGTACAGCAGATTACAAAAATCAATTCAAATATCACGAGCAAATATAGAGCACGTTTTTCAAATATAATCTCACGAATTTGCAACTTAAGAATCGGCCTGAAACTAAACACACTGACACAACGACCATTGTTTCTACTATATATTTTTTAAATTACCCCTTTGGTCAGTCAGATTTTCTCTTTTTTTCCCTCTCAGAACGAAATTAAACCATTCCGCCCAAAAATATACAAAATAATACGTAATATTTTATGCACATAACAGTAATAGTTTAATGTCTTTTTTACTTATATTATTTAAAAATTGGAATAAGCTGTGTTCAAATTAGTCTTTAATTGCTTCCCTTTTCTCCCCTCCCAACCTTGGAATTCCCCTAAAAAGATAATTTTTTAACAAAAGTAGAAACACAGTGACGATAGTTTAGTCGCTACCAGGTATGCCCTGAGAAAGGAATACATGAGGGAGAATATTTTTACGGAGTTTTAAACTCTTGAGAGGGTCGCATTATGACATGGCTATTAATTTTTGGATGGAACCATGATTTTGTGGGATTTCAATATGGAGGAAAGTTCAAACCAGGATACAAGGGAAAAGACATAAAATAGATCACATATGGTGTAATTGTACCTAAATTATTTAAATTATAAGTACATGAGAGCAATAAAATTTCTTGTAGAGGAACATGTGCCCTATCGATATTAACATTAATATTACAAACTAATATACATATCACTAATATACAACGCCAGCAACAATTAATTTTTCCAGTGGGTGCCGGGACACGTAGGAATATCAGGAAATTAAATGGCAGACAAAACGGCAAATCAAAACCAACTACATCGAATAAATGCTAAGGTTCCTTTACTGGATTTGATAAGAGTAGTGAGGGAGGAAATAATGAAAGACTGGCAGCATTTCTACGACTGGGAATGTCCCTCGAAAGGTAAGGACCATCATGCAGTTCAACAGAAGATAGTACCGGTTCCATGGTTTGCGACTCTTAAATCTCATCTCGACCGCTCCAGCTTGGTAAAGCTGACCAGGCTTAGGATAAATCATGGTAGAACTAATAAATATCGACATGTAATGGGTATAGCTAAGAGTGGTCACTGCACAACATGCCAATGCTTGGAGGATCCAAGCCACATCGCCTTCAAGTGCTAAAGATTCGAGAAGCCAAGAAGAATTAGTTTAGGATCGCAAACTACGGATGATGGAGCTAACTTTCTTCGGTTGATGAACAAAGATAACGCCCGTGACTTGATGAAGTTTTTGAATGACATAAAAGCAGTTATTTAATAAAAGTCGCCTCTTAGTCTCATTTAATTTTAATTCTAGTTCACCTCAGTTTTTAACTATTAGTCTTTCTAGTTTAAGTCCTATATAAGTTAAATGCAATATTTAGTTACATTCAGTGATCATCTATCTATAAATAATTAATAAATATCCAGTGTAATTTCATCTTACTATAACAATTAAAATATTTTACTGGCAAAATAGGACTTGCTTTTAAAAGTCTTAAAGGCAAAAAAGAACAACAAAAAAAAAAACGAAAAAAATAAAATAAATATTTTTGAAATATGAATATGAATATAAATATTGATTCTCTATCACTTAGACGCATCAAAAAATATGTTTTTTTTCATCTTTAAATTAATTAATGGAAATATCAATTATTTTGCCCTCCTTAGTAGAATTAATTTTCTAGTTCCTGCCCATCTTCGTCATTCTCAGTTTTTTCCCACAAATTTCCATTCAACCAATGCCAATGCTAATTTATTTGTATCCTACATAGCATTCTTCGGCAATTCGTGATCCTGGTTTGAGAAGGTTGTAACTAACAAATTTGGGCTATAAGGTTCTAACTTAACTAAGTGAATTTACTGAGTAAGAAGGCGCTATTCAACTCTACTTGGTCATCAATAGTCGATATTATCAAAATATCGATGTTTTCCTGTATTATTACACACTCATTCTATATGAAACAGGCAATATCAGTATCATTTTTTTTCTCTAACGATCTTTAAACTCCTATACTTTCCGAAAACGATAGCATTAATTTTTATTTTAAAATTAAAATAGTGAAGGGACGATATCGAATATCGGAAGGCAAACATCGATAATGTCAGTCATCCGAGATTAGGTTTGAAAATTAAGTACATGGCTTTGAATCTATTTCAAATAATATTACAAAATCTGGAAAAATTACAATGATGTAGAGATGGTTGACCGTGATATAATATGAGAAGGAGTTGATCGGGAGGTTCGGTCAAATAAATACTAAATTATAGAAATAGTATTATTAAATTATTATGCCGACGTTTCGACACATCTTGCAGGTCTTCATCAGGGCTACAAAAGATACAAAATATAAAAGGTACATGGAGAAAATAAAATAAATGAATTATAAGTAGATATTAAATAAGAAAAAGTTGGCTGATAAAGAAATAATAAGATGATATCAGAGATATAGTGGGTGACAATGTAGTTAAAATATCAAGTATTATATATAAATAGAAGATACAAATAAAAATAGAAAATAAGTATGAATAAAAATAGAAAACAAAGGAGAATATAGCATGTAAGTTAAAAGTAGACAGATTGTGATAAAAGATAAGAAATGAGTGTATAAAAAACTAATAAAGATTACATTTGATAACTGTAGGTTAACAGATGAAGAAAATGAATGTTAACGAATAAAGAGATTGCACCCCCCGATCAACTCCTTCTCCTAGAAAAATTATAATTTTATTTAATTTATATTTTTAATATTAGAAAGGTAACCTTGAAATTATATTAGTATGGCCTCTAATATCGCGGAGGCAGGTCGCTCCATTCTCGGCCGCGATCAGCTGATGACCTCCTTCATCGACTGCTTTCAGATCTGCAATTACTCTATTTGTGACGGAAATAAAATAAGCAATGGGAAGTGGGACCGACTTCAGTTCCGGAGGTGAGTCAGCGGGTCACAAGACGCGGAAGTAAATATAATAGAGGTCACAAGACCGGTGGCAATCTTGAATTATATATCTGGATATATAGGGAAGAAGGGAAGGGTTGCGGTAAAAATAAATTATTCACGACTAATCAGATAATCCATAGGCGATCTACGAGAGAGGGGAGAGGAAGCTCCTCCCCCTCCACCGAAAATGGTAAAGTATTACCATATCTTATGAAGAAAAAATTAAAAATGATTTCTAAAAGTATATTTATTTATTTAAATAAATATCTCTAAAAGTATTTTATTGTTCGTGTAGTTACATTTTAATAGAACTTCATGAATCACTTAAACGCCATTTAATCATTGTTTAGGTAGTTAGTTTCTTTCTTTTTCTTACCAAGTAATTATCGTTATATTTAAATAAAAAAAAGCTTTCGAACTGAAGTCCTCCCCACAAAATTAAATCCTGGATTTAATTGCTAATGTCACAATCCATTCATCATAATTCATTATCCATCACTAACGGATCCAGGGTTTTTTTTTTTGGGGGGGGACTTCAGCCCGAAAGTTTTTTTCCATAAATATATAACGATAATTAATTGTGGGTTGATGGTTGACTGTAGTGAATGATGAAGAGAAGGATAGTTAGGGTGATCAATCAAAGTAAAAATGAAAAAAATAAATAATAATATTTATTTTAACATTTGTCGACGTTTCGACCCGAAGTTTATGCCTTCTTCAGGGCAAAGAAAAGAACCAGATAACAATAGGTATAAGAAAATATAAAGATTGAATAATATAAAATTAAAATTATGTAGGTATAGACTAAATAATCTAGGTAGAAAAAACTTAAAGTGAATGAAGTAGATAGAGCGAACATTAAAGGCCTGAACTTCGGGTCGAAACGTCGGCAAATGTTAAAATAAATATTATTATTTTTTTGCCATTTTTACTTTGACTGATCATCCTAACTATCCTTCTCTTCATAACGATGATTAATTTGAAAAAAAAGAAAGAAAGAAATTAACTACCTATATGAAATGGTGTTTAAGTGGTTCTTGAAGTCATATTAAATGTAATTACAGGAACAAGAATACTTTAAGAGATAGTTTTTAATATCTTTATTAATTAATTTAGTTTTTTTCTGTAAAAAATGGTTACATTTTACCATTTTGGGGGTGGAGGGGAAGGGAGGGGGCTTCAGTTCGAAAGCTCCTAGTAGATCCACCTGTATTATCGATAGATTAATGCTAAGTAAACCACGCTACAATTGGATACTTGCTAGACTTAACGTGTCGCAGAGAGTGAATATTTTAGAAGAAGCAATTTTATAACATTAATTAAATATATATATATGTGTGTGTGTACAGAGAGTGAGTAATTTGATTCCAAACTGTCGCAGTGTTGAAATAAATAAATGTGAATAAAGGTTTAAATAAATAATAAATTTCCCCTCCAGAAATATCAATAAAATCAATAATAAAAAATGTTGAAATAAGGGTTAGACATTTTGACAACTGAAAAAATAAAATTTAACCTAGTTGCAGTTGAAACAGGCAAGATGGGTATATATATATTTTTTTTTAACGATGTGATCCATATGTAATTCGAAGCGCTTTCCGAAAACGATAGCATTAATTTTGATTTTAAAATTAAAATAGCAAAGGGACGATTTCGAATATCGATATTTCGATATCTGCTATCGATGGCGATCCCTAGGCTGACTTAAAACTAATTTTTGTTAGTCATCTCTACACTAAAGATCATTTTTGGTAGACATCTGAAAGAATAAAATTTAACCTAGTTGCCCGATATACTCCTTTGCGCAGAATGCTGCAAGGGTTGAAAATAGAATGATTACCGTTGAACTTAAATTGAGTTCAAATGGAACAAAAAGTATTGAATTGTATGATAAACAATAATAATAAAAAATAGAAGAAAACAAAACAAGCAGTGTTAGTTCCTGAACTGACTACTCATGGTTGAGATGTATCCAATGGTTCCAATAAAAAAAAACTAAGGCGTTGATGATTGTTAGGAAGAACAATTTCCATTGGAACTTACCAATTGCATCCGAGTAGTAGTCTCTGTTCTCCAGCGAAGAGTCCTTCTTCTTGTAGCTGCCGTGCATCATCGATTCCCAAACTGGAACAAACACATTGCGTCACATTACATACTCCTTCACGGCAAATCCATTTCATAGTTAGCATTATACTGTAGTATATTCTTATATGTTATTTTTATAATGTTTCTCTGTTATCTAATTATATTTTTCTTTATAAAAGTTTTTATCTACTTCCGGAGTCCTGTTATAATCCTATTGTATAGCACTCGGAGTTAAAAATCTATCACTCCTTAAATTTGTTAATTTTTTATTCTTAATTATTATAATTAGGGATATAGGGTTCTTCCCTTAAAACAAATAAAGATTGATTTGAATGCTGATTCAATTAAATTAAGAATTATAATAATAATAATAGTGACAAATTATTTTGAATACTTACTGATATCGTTGGCTCCTCGTTGATAAGGGTCCATTTTATCCAGGCTATCGTCCTCCATTTTAGCAAGATTTGTCAGGCCGTAAACTAGAAGTACTTTTTGGCAATCTGCAACAAACAAAATGGATATAGGTAATTGTTTTTTTTTAATTATAGTGGTTGTAAAAATATTTGTTATTATATAATATTGATAATAATATTACAGCAGGTGTGAGGACTGTCGGTCGATATCGTTACGGTAAAGATTTATATAAATTACCTTCTTCAATGGAAATAACGATTGTTGACGTCAGCTACGTACAGAATCATTTATCAGTTACTTAGCATATACTGAAGTAGAAAAGATTTATCAGTCTTATTAAATGCCAACCAGATATTTTAGATTATTTTCAAAAGCGTATTGATCTATGAATAATACTCCTATTGACATATTAAAAGTCTTACAATAATTTATAATAGTGGTTAAATAGTTGACTGTCGTGAATAATGAGGAGAAGAATAGTTGGGGTGATCAGTCAAATAAGAAGGCAAAAATAAATGATAATATTTATTTTGCCGACGTTTCGACCTCAAGTTCAGGCCTTCATCAGGGCTAAGAAAAGAACCAGATCCCAAGGTATTAAGAAACATAAAAATTACAGTAAAATGAAGTTGTTAGAATAATGACAATATTAAGAACAAAAGATAAATAATAATAACCTGGAATGATGAAGTAAATATAGTCAAAAAGGTGACATAAGTATTGTAAAGGGAATCTTAGAATAAAATGTAAAACACAAAAATATGAAGTTATATAAGAAATGCAAATAAGTAGTAAAATTAATATATTGTGAATAGAATAGTTAGATAGAAAATTGAGATGTTGTAAAGTCTATCAATATGTACAGACAAAGTATGATATAATAAAGAGTTAAAACAGAGAAAAAGAATGAAAGGAAGGAGGAAAGAAACTGAGAAGGTTGACATAAGAAAGAGAATAAGAAAGAGAATAAGCAAGAGAAGAAAAAAACACACCTGACTGCTCTGAGGTAAATGAATCTTTCCTCCTTCCTATCATTCCTTTTATCTGTTTTAACTCTTTATTATATCATACTTTGTCTGTACATATTGATAGACTTTACAACATCTCAATTTTATATCTAACTATTCTATTCACAATATTTTAATTTTACAATTTATTTCCATTTCTTATATAACTTCATATTTTTCTGTTTTACATTTTATTCTAAGATTCCCTTTACAATACTTCTGTCACCTTTTTGACTATGTTTACTTCATCATTCCACACTTTGTATTGGTTATTTTTATTCTTGTTTTTACTATTGTCATCATTTTAACAACTGCATTTTACTGTAATTTTTATGTTTCTCATACCTTGGTATCTGGCTCTTTTCTTAACCCAGATGATGGCCTGAACTTCAGGTCGAAACGTCGGCAAATGACAGAATAAATATTATCATTTATTTTTGCCTTCTTATTTGACTGATCACCCCAACTATTCTTCTCCTCATTACAATAATTTATGTTCTGCTCTGTTTTCCATTTTCATAAATATGTTTCACCTCTGTTAGGTACAAAATTGGTTTCTTAGATCACATATTTGTTTCTATCGGTGATATTTGTTACTTTCAACATTTATCCACCCCCACCTACAACGACTATTGTATGACATCAATGCCCTTGGAACCGAAGACAAACGCTCATATTTCTATTAGCTCGTTGGCAGCCCTGACAATTGAATCTTCGACCCTGCCAACACGGTCCATCGAAGACCGTAGATCAAAGAGATTGCTGGTTATATTGATGACCTGTTATTACCTTAGTCATCTTGATCCTCTGCTTCATGAGATATCGCTATAAATACCATCCTGACATTTCACTAACTCCAATCAATTTGCTCCACCTCATCTTTATAGATGATTGATTGCAATTTCCTATTTTGATTATTCTTAAATGCTATAATTTCGCGCTATAAGTCATCAATGCTTTGTAAAAAAGAGATTGATTTATAGTTTAAAAGCTTGCTGATTTTCATTTACAGGTTTATGAATCCTCATAGTAATTGCTTTAAGTTTCATTATAAACATCTTTGAATTTATCGTTATTTAAAAGGACCTTATGCCATAACTACAATGCGGTATAAATTTCTAATAAATATTTAAAATACTTATGGTTGAGAACGTTTGTAATTTTTCGGTTGTAAAATTACTTAACTGATTCTGCCTGAAAATTAAAATTAAGATTTACAAAACTAATATATTTCTTACGGTTCTATAAGTAAGCGAAACGTAGGCCCTTACATTAAGATATTAACATTTTTTTTTAGCTTTAATGTTTTATTCACACCTGCCCTGATGCTAATGACAACCAGTGAATATGAGATCGATTGCAAAATATAATGTCATGAAAGGCATGAGGAGGATCAGTGCCCAGCGGCACCTCACTCGGCGTGATATCTACATCAGGCGAGGAGGTCCCTCATCCAGCTCCTCTTCAGTCTCCTACAGATGTTACCTGGCATATTCGTAGTGGCCATGTCATTTATAAGTGTATTAGGATAGCCTTGTAAGTTGTCATAGAATCGTTTGTAATGAGTTCGTATGTGTTCGTTAACAGTTGGCATATAGAGGTCAGTAAATATATTAACATAGCTTAGAAATTTTTAAAAATTTAATATTGCGGAGAATATTTGTACTAAATGAATGATGAGTCAACCGTTGAATTCAGGCAGCTACACGATGCCAAATGAAATTAATTATACTCGGTAAATATAATTAAGGTGATAGTTTTGCGGCTAATAAAAGGGCACGTCAAATAATGTACAGGTAACAGACACTTTAAGAGAAATTTACAACATTAATATGAACCACAGTTTTAGTTCTGAGAGAGGATTTTTCCAATGGTTTTAATTGACAGACAATTTAGTCTTTTAGCGAATGTTTTTTTCATATACCCAATTAGTTAGTTATTCATGAAAACCTACAGAACTTTGACAGCTTATATCGTACCAGTAATAGAGATTCAATAGGTTTTTAATGTAGTAAAAAAAATAAAATAAAATTTTTGCAATTTTAAACTAAGAAATGGAAAACATGGAATGAATCAAAATTTCAAGTTTAACTCTAAAATATTAGTGATAAGGAAATCTCACTGAAAAAAAACAACAACCTTGCTCCTTTAAAAATTCAAACGGAAATTGGCTATTTAGTCCAGTCAATGAATGATTATAGAAGAAAATGGCGAACGCACAATTTTTTACTTTGGGACATTTTTTGGACTAGTAAGGAGGTAAACATACTAAAATACACCATCTCTATGTAGTGAGCTAAATGTGAGGAAGAGAGCCCCTAGAAGAGACAAATACATGCTATAAAAAATTAAAGCTGATGAAATTTGCAATCTGATCGATTATGTACCTGCTTTTGCTACCACGCTTAGTTTTAGAGATATTAGTCCTTAACTATAGCTAATCTTGAAAGAAAAACTCATGTTAATTTTTATTTTTCGGGTTTTCACTTATATCAGAAAAATTATCCATCGGATCGATAAAAACATTCTATACAAAATTGAACCTGATAAAATTTGCAATATGATTGATTATTTACCTTTTGCTATCTCGCTTAGTTTTCGAGATATCCGTCCTCAACTATGGCGAATGTATAAAAATAAATTTTTTATCTCATGTTTTTTACTGTATTTTATTAATAGCTAACTCTTGATCGCTTCGTTCTACGAATAATTCATGAGGAAGAAAGTTTTTAATTATTAAATTTTCTTCAATAATATATATTTTTTTACTAGTTTACCTCTAACAGTTCAAAAGCTAGATCAATTATAACTTTACATGTAGATTCCGAGCATTTGAAGAAAAAAATAATTGTTATATTGATCCAACTCTCTGTACATCTAAATCTCTATGTATATATATCTACGAATGAAGAAATTTTACTATTTATTTTCATTTCTTATATAACTTCATATTCGTTTTTTCTGTTTTACATTTTATTCTAAGATTCCCATTTTAATACTTATGTCACCTTTTTTGATTATGTTTACTTCATCATTCCACACTTTGTAACGGTTATTATTAGTTATCTCTTAGTTCTTACTATTGTCATTATTCTAACAACTTCATTTTACTTTAATTTTTTTTTTTTACCTACACTTCTTTTGTTTCTCATACCTTGTAATCTGGTTCTTTTCTTAGCCCTGATGAAGGCATGAACTTGAGGTCGAAACGTCGGCAAATGTCAAAATAAATATTATTATTTATTTTTGCCTTCTTATTTGACTGATCACACCAACTATTCTTCTCTTCATTATTCACGACAGTCAACCATTTACCAACAATTACAAAAAATGTAATATTGAATTTTTTTTTTTTTTGTTAAGTATCCTTCATGTTCGATATATCGAGGTTGGATTGTAAACACATAAAAAAATCGAGAGATATCGTTATCTTGAGACCTCTCACAACCCTCATCTGCATACCTCTGGTAAGGTCCATCTATTACTTTGGGTCCTGCGAAGGCTGCAAGAGGTCCTTGTTGGACCCTGACCCTAAGCAACTCTATCTTCCGCTTCCTTCTTCGTCTTATCTTTACTTCCTTCGCTTGGAAATCTCTAAACGAAAGACAGTGGAAGGTATCGCAATATCAATATGACGCTATCACAAAATGACATATCTATGCTCTATTTATAGAACGGCAGTATAAATCACTTTTCAGGCTCTTAGAAGAGATGGATTTTGATAAATGAGGTATCGACGAGATAGAATTTTATGAGGAAGTGACGAAATTCAATTTCAAAATGTAAAACATTACTACAACTACAATATATAAGCCATTGAAAAAATTGGGAGGTTTCAAAACTCGACGGATAAAACGACTTTGCGTTTTAAAGCTAAAAAATATACCGTAGTCGGTATAAATTGTAATTCTTGTCGAAAACTTCTTAGGTGCTTTACATAATTATGTATTAAAAACAGAGTATATCAAAACATTTATATACTTATAATTATGTATTTAATTTATGTTTTTGTTATTACTTTAGACTGTTTAATTACAACCAAAAATTGGGAAACTCTTTGACATCAAATTAATAACGAC